AAATTTAAAAAATAAATATTAAAAAAAAAAAATAAAAAAAAAATAGACAAAGCACGATAATTTTTATATTCATTATTATTATTTTATTGTTATAAATTTATTTTATTAATTTATTTATACCTATTATTTCTATTCATTATAAACTTTTCTCATCAATCAAAATTATAAAATATTATTATTGTTATTTTTTATTTTTTTAAATTAATTATAATTTTAAATTTTTTATTTTTTTCAAATCAAATTATTGCTTTTGTTTTTTTATTTTTATTTTTTACTTTATTAATTATAAATAATAAACAATAATAACTATAATAAATTTTTACTAATTAAACAAAATATAAATTATAATAATTTAAAAAAATAAAAAAATGATAAATCAGAATATGGATATTTTAAATGTAAAGCCAATCGAGTTAGATTTACAAAGTTTATCAATTGCAACAGCTCAGAATTCCGGACAATGGGGTAAGGGTTATTATAAATTCTGCCTATTTATTCAATGGTTTTATATATTTACTAATTTTATTATTTCTACTAGATGAATTTGATCAATATAAATTTGTTGATGAATCAGATTATGAAGAGCAACCATCATTTCAAAAGAATTTATCACATGATCTTACATTTATACTCCCAACATTAGATCAATTAGAAGATGTTACAAATAATAGTAATGGCAATGAATTAAAAGGTAGAATATATGCACACAAAAATATAGTAGCTAGAAAATCAGAATATTTTAATTTACTCTTAACCAATGGTATGAAAGAGTCCACACAACAAGAAATCACAATTCCAAATATATCAGTTGATATCTTTTTTGAAATTTTAATGTTTTTATATACCTCAGATTTATCCGTTAATCAAGATAATTTAACCAGTATGTTTTTAGTCTGCGATCAGTTCCTTTTAGAAGATGGTAAACAAATTTGTAGAGCTTTTATTAAATCATTAGATAACCCAACTTTAGAAAAATTTTTATTAGAGGTAAATATTCATTTTGTATTTAATAATCTAACTAAAATGAAAACTAATTCATTTTATATTTAATTATTAGGATAATGGATTATGCACAGAGTTAGCTGAGTTATATATTGAACAGGTTTGTTTCAATTCTTCATTCTTTTTGCAAATTGAAAGAGTTTCAAAACTTGGCAAAGAAGTATTATTAAAGATTTTAGAAAGGGATGATATTCCATTAAAAGAAATTGAAATATTTAAATCTACAATCGAGTGGATTAAAGTAAATACATCAATAATTATAGAAGAACAAGACAATAATAATAATAATAATAATAATAATAATAGTAATAATAATAATAATAATAATAATAATAATAATAATAATAGTAACACTACAACAAATAATAATGATAATAATTTTATAATTGAAAAACAAGATAAAAATTTAATTTCAAAATTATTTCATTTAATAAGATTCCCATCCATCGAATATAATGACATGATAGAAATAGTGGAGACATATTCATCCATTATCCCAAGTCCACTTTTATTAGAAGCTTATAAACACCTTTCAAAACCAAAATTAATGCCTTTAAGTGAAAAAGATTTATTAAATCCAAGATTATGTCCAAGAAAAAAATCAAATGTTTCAACTGCTCCAGGTGTAGAAGTAATTTCATTCCAGTGCTCTGATCATAAAAATTGTTGTTCAGTTTCATGGCCAATTCACAATTTTAGCAATATAAAAAGTCAAAAGCATGTAAGCAATTGTTTTGAAATGTTTGGTTTAAATTGGAAAATGTGGGCTTATCCGGCCGGTGAAGCAAAACATAGTGATAGTTTTTCCGTATATTTAGAGGCCGTTAGAGTAAAGGAAAAAGAATCTTACGATTTCCTTAGAAATACTACTTTCTTTTTTGGTCTTGTAAATCAAAGAAATAAAACCCTCTGTCGTCATTACCCTTCATCTCCAAATGTATTATTCAACTATGAAAAAAGTGTATGGGGTAATGGTTTAATAGAACTTAAATTATTATATGACAAATCTTTAGGCTATATGGATAACGATACTGTTACAATTCAATTACATATTTTAGAATGTATAGCATTAGATGGTTAAACTTTGAAATAATATAATATATATAAATAATAAATAATAGATAATAATAATCAATATAAACAATGGAATCAAATAGATAATAGCGAGTCTTTTTAAAATTAATTTAATCAATTAGTTTTATACAATAAATACAAAAATGTAAAATAATAATAATTTATAATAAATATAATTTAAAATAACCAATAAATTTTATATTTATATAATACACCATAAAAATTTATTTTTTTATCTCCTTTTAATCAGAAATCTTTTTTAACTTTATATTATTTAAAAGGCTTAACCACCAACCACAAGATTGTTGATGGTGAAGTGTGTGTTAACTGTATTGTTCTTTTGCTTTTTATTTTTTTATTTTTTTATTTTTTAATTTTTTAATTTATTTTTTTAAAAACAAAAACCAACTTAAAAAATAAATTAAAAAAAAAAATTTTAATTTAATTTTTTTTATATCAATTTTTCTTTTTTTTTTTATCTTTTTTTATTTAATTAAAATAATGAAGTCAAAATTATTTTTTAAAGTTTATCATAATGTATATTTAAGAGCAATAATATTTAAATATATAAAACTATTTAATATATTTAATGCTAAAAGAGAATTTTCATTAGAATCAATAAATAGTTTTAAATATAAAGAGTATCTAAATCATATTAAAATCAATCTAGAAGATTCAAAATTCAGTCCCCAAATTCTAGAAAAATCAATTCCAAGGAATATAGAATCACTAGAAATATTTTTCAATCTCCAACTCACACCAACATTTACACTCCAAGATATGTTGCCAACACTCCAATATACTTTGCCAGAATTCCAAAATGCTTTTCCAGCATTCCAAAATTCTTTTCCAACAATCTATAATGCTCTTATAGGACTCCAAAATGATTTCCCAACACCCCAATATGCTTTTCAAACACCCCAAAATGCTTTTCAAACACCCCAAAATGCTTTTCCAACATTCCAAAATGCTTTGCCAACACTCCAAAATGTTTCCCCAACACCCTTGGGCCAAGTACAACCGAATTTAAGAGTAATACCAAATATACCGGAATCAATAAAGATACTAAAGATAGAGAATTTTTATGATATACCAAACCAATATGAGTTTAGTAATTTAAACCAATTAAAAAATCTTCATACTTTAGAAGCCAAGTTTCTACCGATATTACCAAACTCTTTACCAGAATCATTAACATCTCTATTCATCACAAAATATTCATATGTAATACAAAAAGGCACATTACCAAAGAACTTAAAGAATCTTTATGTAACTTTTGACTCTCTTAAAGAGCATGAATGTCCCATAGAGAAAGGTTCACTACCAGATACCTTAGAAGTTTTAAAAATAATGGGAAGTTTTAATTTTTTGGTCGAAAAAGGTACATTCCCAAATAATCTACAACAGTTAGAGATTGTTCCCAAATGTACAGTTCAGCTTTATGAAGATTTTTTCCCGCCATCACTTACCCGTCTATCTATACAGCTAAGTGAACTAAATATCCAGCTACCTAACAAATTAAATTTTTTATCACTATTTCTCGATAAAAATCTTGACAAGGATTATACTTTTGCACCATCTTTAGAATTCTTGATAATCGATACAAAATCAATTACTCATAAAAACATACCATCCAATCTATCATGCCTCATTTTTGGATATAGTTTACGTCCTTCCCTTATAGATACTTTTGGTATATCCATCTTACCTAAAACCATTACATCAATAGACTTTGGCTACTTTTTTAATAAACCACTGGAACCAAAAGCTTTTGAAGGCTGTAACAATCTAAGATCTATCAGATTTGGCTTAAGTTTTAACCAGAGACTGTATCCCACTAATGTTTTCCCAGAAAGTGTCACAAGTATTATTTTCAAAAACTTTGATAATGGGGGCTTTCCATTAGACGATGACTTTACGTTCCCAAAAGCTTTAAAGTACATCGATTTTGGTATTATGTTTGATCAAATGATTGGAATAAACACATTTTCAAAGTCTGGTAATCTTAAATCCATTATACTAGGATCTGCATTCAAACAAAAAATATTGGATAACTCTATACCAGCCAGTGTAACATTACTAGAGCTTTCAAATAGCAAATATGAGTATTCTTTTAAACCAATTGACCCAAACAACACTAATGTAAAGCTGAACATTTTTAAAAACGTTATTCTTAAATCACCATTCAAAGAAATGATAACATCCATTGAATACTCTCCCAATGGATATTTCCCAAACTTATCAGAAGGACACTATCAATCGTTTCCAACAACATTAAAGCACCTTAAACTTCCATTTGACTTTAACGATCCAATTGAAAAAATATCTCTAACCGATAAATGCCAACTCGAGTATTTAGAATTCGACTTTTCATTCAACCAGCCACTATTCAGAGATTACCTACCAATGGAAAACTCAATTAAAACTTTGGTTTTGGGGGAGGATTTTGATCAAATACTTGTATTGGAATATTTTAAAAAATTAGAAACATTAAAAGTTTATGGAAAGCCAAAGCTAATATTAAAGGCAAATACTACAACTTTGTACTCAACTCCAATCAAAAAAAATAAAGATCATGATATATTAATGAATTATCTCATCACTGGAAAGGAACCAAGCATCAAAGATGAAGAGGATACAGATAAAGATTTGGGTGATGAAGAAAAAGAAGATATATGTGAAAATCAAGATGGTAATATATTTTACAATTTAAAATTAATAGAAACACCTGTAGACAATACCAAATTTTTAGACTCGTTAAATCCCATCTTCTTTAGGTTTTTAAAGCTAACAAAAAAACCATTTAAACTATTTGCGTTCTAAAAAAAGAAAAATAATTTAAAAAAGAATATAATTAAAATGAAACAATAGTATTTTTGTATAATAAACCAATATATATGTTTATTTTTTTTAATATAACTTTTATTTATTTTTTTTATTATTTAGATATCAATAAGATAAAAAATTTTAAAAAAAATATTATTTTATAGATGTTTGTTAAATAAATAGGGGTTTTTAGTTTTATTAATAACTTTACATAAGTTGTTATTAATATTGGGTATTATTGATTATTATCTATATTATTTTTTTAATTATTACAATTTACAATTTGAGAACTTTTTCTTATATTTTGAATCCAAACAAACATATCTTCTCTAGTGTCACAACTAATTAAATAACGTCTTTTTGGAGTTGAGATGATGAAACAAAATGATTTACCATCTACTTCATTTACAGAATCGATTTGACCTGTATTCTTTAATGATATTGAACCACATGGAGTTCTTTCATTTTTTGATTTAAAGTACTCTAGTTTTTCATCACCTACAAACTTCATGAATCTTCTCTTCCAGTTCTTTATTAAATCACCTTTTTTATAAATAAATCCTTCACGTGCGTTGAAATTTAATCTTTTAACAGTTTCATTTTCGTATTCAATTGGGACAAATGATTTCTTTTCATATTTACATCTTATCCATGCATCTTTATATCCACTAAAATTTATTAAAAGAAAACAATCAATATGGTGAATTTTTAAAAAATAAAAAAATAGAAATAAATACAAACTTTGAATCAGCATAAGTTGGTTTAATAAATCCAATTGGCAACATTGCTTCCCAAAATTCATTTGCTTGGACATTATTAGTTTGTTTAAAAGTTTCAATTTCGGCAGCTTTCCATGAGTCTAACTCCACTGATTTAATTCTTGAAATATGTGCTAAATTATTTAAAAAAAAAAAAGAAAAAAATTAATATATGGCGTCGAAAATTTTTATTTAATAAAATAACACATACTTCCTAATGAACGATGAATGCCCGAGCAAACAATACATAAAAAAATTCCAAGATTAACTGATGCCCATGATGGATCTTGGGCTTGGCAATCTGCACATTGAGAATTCTCTTTTAGCTTTAACAATGCTTTTAAAACTTCTTTATTTACAGCATCACAATTAATGTCACTAATAGATGATGTCATTTTAAAGATTTATGGTTATTAGAGTAATGAGTAAAGTTTAAATATAATAGTTTTTATAATTATTATGTGTGTTTGAAAAAATTGGTTGATTTTTTTTTTATTTTCTTTTTTGAAGTGGAAATTATATACAATAAAATTTCAAATAAAATAAATAAAATTAATTTTTGAAAATTAATTAATTTTGGGTGGTACTATAAAATAAAAAAAATTTTAAAATTGGTAAAAAAAATACACAAGTTATTATTTAATGCTATTATAATAAAAGTATGTATATATGAATGTATGCAGTGTTACACTTCTATAACTATACTACTCTACTATGAGTATTAATATAGTAATAATAGTTTAAGTGTGTGTATATGTTTAGAAAAATTTTCAAAAAATAACAAAATGAAAAAATATTTAAATTAAAAAAAATAAAAATAAAAATAATAAAAAAAATAAAAAAAAATTATAAAAAATTTAAAAAATAATTTTTGCTTTTGTGGTGGTTCAGGGTGTGTGCCATAATTTATTATTTTTTTGTAAAAATATTATTAACCAATAAATGGAATCTCAACTGGTTAGTGGGTGTTTTTGGCTCCATATTAAAAATGTGTTCTGGTAATCAAAAAATCAAAATCAAAAATCAAAAACATAAAAAAAAAAAAATGTAGTTAATATTAAATAAAAAGATATTTAAAATAAAAAAAAATAAAAAAAAAAAAATAACCGAACCATTAATGGATCTTTTGTAACTTTACAAATTTTTGATTATATTTATTTTTTTACATATTTATTTTATTGTTTCTTTAATATATAACCAATTTTATAATGTTATTGATGATTATTATTTTTATTATTTTAATATTTTAATGTAAGCTTTTAACTATTATTCAGTTTATTAAAAAAAAGTTTTTTTAATTTTTTATATTTTGATTTTATAAAATTATAGTTTGTATTATTATTATTATTATTATTATTAAAATTATTAAAATTAAAATTATTAAAATTGTTATGGATATGGTTATTATTATTATGATTATCATTTTTTTTTCTTTCATATTCTAGTAATAAAACATTGAATACCGAAACTATTGAATATACATTATTTTTTATGCTACAATCTTGAAATTTTAAATTTAAAAATTGAGATGTTTGTATTGCTTGATTTAATTGAATTGCTTTATTATAACTATTATTATTAATATTGTTATTTTCGTGGGTTGTTTCGTATAATATATCTGTTTTTCCACCCACCATTATTATTGGAGGGTCAATTTGAACTTTATACATTTTAATATAATCTAAATATTTTTCGCAATTATCTAAACTAATTCTACTGTCCATTGAAAACATTATTATAAAGGCGTCCATTTCCATTACATTTTCTGGTACCAAATAGTTGTGGTCTATTGCTAAATATATTTATATAAGAATATTAGTATTATGGTATAATTTTTTTTTATAATATATTTAATAACTACAAATATCGTGAAGTATTAATTCGTATTTTTTAATATCCCCCATTTTAAACAATACTCTATATCCACTATTTTCTATATTTTGAACCTGATTTTCCTCGAAAGAAGTACCTAAGACTGCATTTATTAAAGATGTTTTACCAACACCTGCATCACCATATACCCCTATGTTAATTGTTTCAAACCTTTTATTTTTAATCTCGTCCATATCATAATAACCATCATTGTCTGAAAATATATTTGTTAAACTATTTAAACTGTTTAAATTATTATTATTATTTATCGGTATTGATAAAATCTCGTATTCTGAATTCATTTGACTCTTTTTAAAATAAATAAAAAATAAAATAATGAAATAAAAAAACAAAAATATATTATTTAAAATAAAAAATTAAAAATAGAAAAGAAAGGAAAAAAATAAAAAAAAACTGTATTAAATTAAATTAATTATATTATTATTACTACTATTATTATAATTTTTTATTGGTTTTATATTAAAATTTTGTTGTGTATTAAATTGGTTTTATAAAATAAAAAAAAAAAAAAAAAAGATATTGATAAAAATTTATTATTATTTAATTTAAATGAAATAAAATTTTTATTTAATTTAATTTTTATTAAAAAAAAAATTGATTGTAGGAATATTTATATTTATTGCTATTGTTATTGTTAATGATCATAAGATATCTTTATTGAGGAAAATTATATCACACACTTAAAAAAAAATTAAAATATAAATAAAAATAAAAATAAAAATAAAAATAAAAATAAAAATAAAAATAAAATAAAAATAAAAATAAAAATAAAAATATATATTTTAATGTTATAAATGAATTTGGTTATTTTTCATTAAGTACAAATATGATATTAAATTTAAAAAATAAAAATAAAAAAATTAAAAATTAAATTAAATAAATATATTTAATTATATAAATATAAATTTTAATAGATATCTAATTGACAAACAAAATTTCACTTAAATTAAAATTAAAATGATATGTTTGGTCATAAACTTGTTCATATATTTTTATTTAAATAATAGTGCGGGTATTATATAATAAAAATTAAAAAACAAAAAACATCCCCCATTTCTGTCACCCCACACACCCAATAATACACACTATAAATATCCACCACCAAACCCCCTGTTTCCTTTGAACACCAAAAAAGAAAAACTTAAAATATAAATTTTAATATTACCATTTTTATATTTGATTTAATACACTAATTTTATTTAAGTTTATACAAATTATATCGTTATTAAATAATAAATAATAAAAATAATAAAAATTACCCCTCCCCCATTTTTTCTATCATTTTGTGAAAATATATTTAGAAGGTGTTACGAAATACAACAATCTAAACAATCGTGTTATATCACAATACCAACCAAACCCTAACACATTTACTAACACACAATAACATTTAAAGAATATTAATTGTTATGAAAAAAAAATTAAAAATTTTCTAAAATGAAAATTAATAATTATATAGTTTATTAAGACTTCTATCTATAAATTTGTCAAAATTTAATTTTAATGATAGGTTATTTAAATCTATTGATTCTACAGTGACTTTTACACGATCGTTAACTCTAAATGGTGTACTCTTTTGATTTTGAGGAATGCTGAATGTGCAATTGGCTGAATATTGGAATTTATGAAGGAAAATTACAAAGTGATACTTGGATGGGTTAACTGAAAGAATTGAACCTTCCAAAACTGCTTTAAAATCTGGATTCTGTATATTTTGCATTTTTTGTTTTTCGATTTCACTTTCAATTGCTTTTAACAATACAAAGTTAACTATATTGATTTGATATTTTTTCTTTAATCCAATGGTTTTAATAACTTGATCTCCAACTGAAGTGGTGTAATCTGAATCAAAGAATAATTTTGGATCTTTGGTGTTTGCATTTGGATTTAGTAATAAACTCTTTAACTGGTACTGTGTGAAAAGATGAGTAAAGTTTCTAATTGGTGAAGTTATGGTCAAGAAGCTGCTCTTTGGTGAAATACGTTTGTAGTTGGGTTGACCAAAATATTTATAAAAACCATAGATACCTTTAGATTGGAAAATTTCTGTAAAGATATCATCAACTGATGAAAGAATTTCATCTACAATCTCGTGAGCTAAACTTTGATGTGGTCTCTTTTGTGATAAAGTTGAAAGTGGAACATCGTAATTGTTGTTTTCTTCACCACTATGGCTTTGTTTGATTCTAATCTCTTTTTTATATTGGTTTACTCTACCATAGCTTTCCAATGATGTCTTGTTTGATTCTCTGTATGCTTGTCTTTTTCTTGTAAATTTATATAATGTATACAATATTCTTTCACCTAAACTAAACTCCTCCTCGTTAGCATTCTTTGGGTTTTGAATAATAGATTCAAGACGTTTAGTTACAATGCTTTGAGATAATGGTATAACTGATGTTAAGCTGGTTGGATATATTTTATAGCTTTCAATTTGGCTTGTAGATTTGTCGAAATTAATTTCCATTGTAATTGCATATGTTGGGTTATCTTGAGTTGCATTTGAGAGTGATAATATCTTTACAAGTGAGGGTGGAAACATGTGATATGCACCATTGGGTGGGTAAAATGTCTTTAAGTTGAGCAAAGCACTCTTGTATAATATATTATCAGTACCATCTGGCATCCAACGAATAAAATCTGAAATGTGAATATAAACTGTATTGAATCTATCTGAACTTTCGCAGTCAATACTAATTGCATCATCAATACCTAATGTTGAACTTGGATCAATTGAAATAACTGGTTTATCGAAATTGATTCTTATTGAACTGAGCAAATCTGTAATTAAATTTGGTTGGGTTTCAATGATTTTAGAATATTCATAAATTTCCTTGCTCCATAAACCTAAATTTTTATTATAAAATGATACATCTTCTGGCACCTTTGATACAAAACCAATGTCCTCTAATAACTTTTTAGCACTTTCTGAACTATTTTCATAACCCAATTCCTTAAGTATAACTCTGTATGATGAATCTGGCACAAAATTTCTTCTAGGCGATATTGAGAGCAGTTTGATAATATTTAAATAATAAGTATCGTTATGGTCAAATTGATGTATTATATTACTTTTTTCAAAACTTTCTTCTTTAATACGATTTAAAATTGATTTTATCTTTTTTATAAATTGATCCAACCTCTCTTTGTTGTCAATAGGTTTTACAAATTCATATCCTAATCTATCATCTTCTGGTTTGGTTATAGTGTCACTTGTTGAAAGATACTTGAATGTGCTGTAGAGTTGTTTTTTGGTTGGTTCACGAACATTGTAAAGAACTTTGGCAACTTGATCGGTGGTAAACTTGTATTCATTTTTGAATAATGCTAACTTGGTATCATTAACAATATTGGTTTGGAATTTAAAACTTTGGTAACTTGAATCCATCTCTATTAACTCATTTATATTCATTGCACCAAATAAATCCTTCCAGTAAAATGAAACATCTGATCTATTGATTGAAACAGTATCAGTACTATATTTTCCACTAGTCTTTGTAACCAATCTTTCCACTTGAAGTTTGCCAGAAGATAAAATATTTTTGACTACACCAATATAAAATCTATCTTGATACATAAATTCAACAACGGTATCTATTTCAGTCTTTGGTTTATTTTCTGCTTCACCTTCAAAATCTGTACCAAACAATAACTTCATTGTATCTAAATCTTTCATTGACATACTTTCTTTTTTTACTTGATTTTCTTCGACATCATGTTTGATGTTTTCTTGTAAACCTTTTTTAATTTCTATTTCTTCATTTTCAATTTCTTTAAGTTTCTTTTGAAGCCTTTTTTTGATACCACTTTCAAATAACATTTTCAATGCATCTGGTGTCTCATCAAACTCTTTAATTTGTGATAATACTTTCTTCTTTTCATTTTCTAGTGAACCTAATTTCTTTTTAAGCTGAGCTTCTTTTTTAATTTCTTGCTTGCCTGGTTTCTCTTTTTTCTCTAAAATTGGTAAAATTTCATTTTTATTTGGTTTGTTTTTTGGTAATTTTATAACATTTAATAAATTAACTTCTTCTTTTCCCTTGAATTTTTGGTGTCTATTTACAAAACTACTATTATTACTGGTATTATTACTATTATTACTATTATTATTATTATTATTATTAAAAGATTTAGTTGATATAAATGATCTTAAAATATTTAAACTTGTGTTACTATGAATAGTATTTGATTTAAACTTATATTTTAACATATTAATACGCAAATAAAAGAAATAAAATGAAAAAACACGGTTTTTTTAATGAAACAAAAAATGAAAAAAAAAAAACTTTTTTTTTAATTAAATTTTTATTTTTTTTATTTTATTTTAATTTTTGTAAAATTATTATTGTTATTTTATTTGTTTTGGTATATTTATAATTTTTTTTGGTAATCTTATAAATCTCATTTACTTTTCAGTTTAATTTTATTATTACTTTTATTATTTTTTATTTTTTATTTTGATACCAATTTGCAAACGGGTTTAGGAAAAATCAAAACCTTTTTCATTTTTGATTTTTTTTTTAATTTTGTTTTTTTTAAAAATTTTAAAAAAAATAAAAATTTTTTTATTGTTTAGGCATGCTCCTACCAGTTTTACGTTTTTATTTTTTCCAACCCTCATTTAATATATTCGAACCTATATATAAATAAATATATAAATAAATTATTTAAAACCCAGTGTTGTTTTTATTTTTTATTTTTTTTTAACATATATTTATTTATAATTTATATTTTCGGAAATAAATAAAAATGAGATTATTCATTACAGTTTTTTTAGCTTTGCTTTCAATTTCGCAAGTATTTGCAGATTCCACATGTATTTTTCAACTCCCAGATAACCGTACACTCGACTTTTCAGCCTTAGATTTGTAAATATAAAAATTAATTAAAACAAATAGTGTATTCTATATTATTACCATAACTATTTACTTACCCGATACTTGTTTTTTTATTTTAGATCTACTGTTTCCCCATATGTATACAATGTACCAGATGTTAAGAATACAACTGTAGGTCTTTTTTTTATTTATTTTTATTTACACTTTTTCGAATTTTATATTTATAATAATATTTATAATTTAGATTACATTTAATTTTTGTGGTGAAGCATCTTATTGCACAAGTAAAGATCCAGGATCATCAATTTGTTCAACCAATTCTACATCCAATACAATTTTATCATTTGGTAGTTTTTCAAGAGGTACTGCAAACACTGCACCACTCCCAAGCGATATTTCAGGTACTGGTATTCAATTGAAATATTCAGGTGATCCAAAAAAAACCTGTGGTCCTTCAGGAACTAGAAATTCATATCTTAATTTAGTTTGCGCTGATGTTTCAGCTCCACAAGTAGTTAGTGCTATTACTCCATGGGGCCAAAACGGTGTTGTATGTCAAATTACTCTTCAAATTAATGTACCATGCCCAGGTTTCTCCTTCCCAAAGAAAAATGGTTTGGGTGGTGGTTGGATCTTTATCATCATGTAGGTAGTTTAGTAATGGTGGTGGGCACTAAAATTTATTTAATCAATCATCATTGCTCATAGTTTATTAATTTTTTTTTATTTCCGATAGCTTATTATCAGGTTCAGCAGCTTACATTATTTTTGGTTCAATTGTTAATTGGAAAATTAGACGTCTACAAGGTTCACATATTTTCCCAAATGTTGATTTTTGGAAAGGTTTCGGTTCATTAATCAAAGATGGTTGTGGATTTATCAAAGGTAAAATCACCGGTACTCCAGGCGGTGAATATTCTCAAATTTAAATCTTATAATAGAAAACAGAGATCACCTTTAATTTATTCGAAATCAATTTAAATAATAGTTAATAATGATTATAAAAATAATTTAAATAGTTATTATTATTTTTTCTGTAAATTTTTAATTAATAAAAAAAAAAAAAAGTATAAAAAATAAGAAAAAAAAAAAGTTAATGGTTTTATAATTGCTAAATTTTATTTTATTTTATTTTATTCATCACAACACCAAATATTAAAAAATAAGAATCTTCTTGCAGTTGATGTTGCTCTTAGTTTCTTCTTTAGCATAAAAACCCTATTCTTTGCCTCTTCTTCCTCTTTTCTTTTCTTTGTTTCATCATTATTGTAAATATTACCACCGATTGAAATTGATGATCTTACCGTTGGTGAATTGGAGTTATAGTTGTTATTATTATTATTATTGGTACTATGGTTTTTATATTTATTAATTGAGAACGATGACCATTCGACCGATAGATCCCAGTTAATATTTAATTCTTTTGAAACTGATTGAATTTCTTTGATAGTTAAATTTAATGTTTTTAAATCATGGTGTCGATATTGAATATAAACTAGTGCAGATTTAGAGCTATCACTAAAGTTAAAACCAAAACTTGTCTTGAAGAATATTTGATCTGGTGAGCTGTCTTGAAGTGCTTTTAAAATTTCATCATCTTTTAAATCTGGTTTTATGGTTCTGTATTGTTTAAACATTTTCAATGTCAATCTTTCTTTATAGAAACATTGCCCTTTATAAAAATATTTAATTGAGTTTTTTAAAGTATCTATAAACTGGTTTTTTAACTCTTCAAGACACTCTTCTTTATTGTTATGCTCCTCTTTAAAAAGTAAAATTGTCTTTAAATTTTTTATAATATTGATATTTTCATCTGATAAAAGTTTAATATCTTTAATAAACTCTATATAAATAATTGGATAAATTAGCTTTATAGTTTACATATATAAACATAGTATAAATATTTACTCTTTTCTTCTTCTAAACTAAATGAATATAAATCTTCATTGTATTTACTGTCTAAATTTGTATTGTTTTTATTAAATGATTCTAAACTATTTTCTATATCATTTTTAATGGTGAGAATATTACTCTCTCTTTTATTATTATTATTATTCATTTGTTTTATGTACTATTTTAGTTAAAATATGTTTAAAAAAAAAGATAATATTTATTTTTAACACTTCAGAAAAAATAAATAATTTTTAATAATTTTTTTCAAAATAAATTTGGGGGTTAATTTTATTTATTTGTTTATTTGTTATATTTATTTTTAAGTTTTTTAATTTTGTAAATATATGATTTCTATTACATTTTTATTTAATTTTTAAGTTGAAATTGTTTACTTTTTTAAATAGATTAAGTAATTGAATCTCTTTTAATAATACACCTGCAAATGAAAATATTTTTTTTTATCCCATAACCAAGCCCATTTTTTTTTTTTTTTATCTTTCTATTTTTAAAATTTAATTTGGTGTTGGATTAATATGGAATATTATTTAAATTTAAATTTATTTTTTTATTTTTTTAAAATTTTTTTAATTTTATTTTTTTAATTTTATTTAAAAAATTATTTTTGAAATTTTTCCACAAACACGCACAAATTAAAATATCGATGGAACCAAAGGAACATTCCACATTTAATCCAAAGATAAAATATGATTAAATTATTTTTTATCACCCACCACCTTCCAAATTCAAAAACTATAAATAAAAATTTTAATTTCATTTCTTTTCATTCTAAAAATAAATTAATAAATAAATTTTAAATAAATAAATTTTAAATAAATAAATTTTAAATAAATAAATTTTAAATAAATAAATTTTAAATAAATATAAATAAATAAATAAATAAATTTTAAATAAATAAAATGATCTCATTAGATAATAAAAATAACAATAAATCATTAGTAATTACAAAATATGGTGGTCCAGAAGTATTTTCAATTGTTGACACAGCCATTCCAAAACCAAAAGATAATCAAGTACTAGTTAAAATCGACTATGTTGCATTAAATAGAGCTGATCTTTTATTTTCACAAGGTTTTTACAAGCCAATTGAAAAGTTCCCAAATCCATGTGGTATGGAAGGTACAGGTACTGTTGTAGAGTTTGCCAGTGAAGAAGTTAAAGAGAAATCAAATTTAAAGGTTGGTGATAAGGTTTCAATACTTTGTAATTTTGATAATACAAATTATGGAACTTTTGCACAATATGCAGTATTTCCATATAGTGCATTGGTTAAAAATAACAGTGAATTAGTTGACCAAAAAACTGCATCTGCATTTTGGGTATCATTCCTTACATCTTATTTTGCTTTGGTTGAAAATGCAAGAATTAAAAAGGGTGATGTAATTGTTATAACTGCTGCAAGTTCAGGTGTAGGTCTATCAGCCATTTCTCTAGCTAAACATTTTGGTGCCACTGTAATCGCAACAAGTCGTACTGACAAGAAAAAAGACCAAATACTCTCTTTTGGTGCTGACCATTTTATTGCCTTAGATAGTGAGGATTATGTTAGCCGTATCAAAGAAATTACCAATGGCAAGGGTGCAAATATTACATACGATGCCGTAGCTGGTGGATCTTTCTCAAAGCTAGTTGAAAGCTCTGCTTCATTTGGGAAAATCATTTTATATGGTCTAATGGATTTTAGTAGCCCAACAGTTATACCAGTAACATCAATTGTTCCAAAATGTATCACAATCAAAGGTTTTACTCTTTACGAATATCTTCCTCAAACCGAATTATTAAATCAAGCTATTGACTTTTTAAATCAAAATTTACATCAATTCAAATCTTTGGTTGGTAAAGAATTTATCGGAATCGAATCTTTAGGAGATTCTCTCAAATTTTTAAATTCATCTGACCTTTTTGGTAAGGTAGTTGTAAAAATCAATTAATTTTCTTAAATAAAAAAAAATCTTTTATTTCCCATATAAAAATTTAAATAAAATTTTTTTTTTTTTAATTTGCAATTGTTTTTGGTAAAATAGTGATAATTAATTTATTTTTTTGATTAAATTATTGTCGAAATGAAAAAAAATTTGAAAAGAAAAAAATAAATAAAATTTTTATTTTCCATATTAAATTAAAAAAAAAAAAAAATTATTTTTATTATAATGTTAATTTTAATTTTAATTTTTTTTTTTTTTTTTTAAACAAAACAAATTTTTTTTTTTTTTATATTTTGCAAAATTTTTAGTTTATTTAGATATGTCATATAATAGTTTTTTTATTAAAGTTGTTTTTTTAGGGGATAGTGGTTCTGGAAAAACAAGTATAATTTGTAGAATAGGAGATGAACCAAGCGATTATCTCCCATTTGTTTATGGTTCAGCTGTGTTTCAAACTAAATACGATAATGTGAATATGTGTCCATGGGACACACCAGGTTCGGCTGAATTCGAAAGAAAAAGAGTACTTCAGTATCCTCATACCAACTGTGTAGTATTATGTTTTTCAATTTCAGATAGAGATTCATACAACAGTTGTTTAAATTTAGTAAGTATTAAAAAACAAATTTATTTATATATAATTATACTGACAATTTCAATTAAACATTAATAGTGGTATCCAGAAATTTCACTATTTTTACCTAAAGTACCAATTATCTTGGTGGGCACAAAATCAGATCATTATAACCATCCAAATTATAAAAAAGATCATTTAATTACACATAAGGAAGGTTTAGAATTGGCAAATAAAATTAATGCAGTTGAATATATTGAAACATCATCATTGAACAAGACCAATATAGAAAAGATTAAAGAAGTTGTCCTCATAGTCTCAATTTTAAATAAAAATAATAAAAATAATAAAGATAGAGACCTCAGTTTGCTTAGTCCCAAAAAATTTAAGTCAACCTCAAGCTATTCTTTTAAAGCGCCCGGTGATAATGATGAAAAAGAAAGCAAATGTAAAATCAATTAATAGATGTATGTATCACCCAGAGTACAGAAAAGAAATAGAGCTTAATAATGATAAACCTTTGTGGTAATGGGGTGAGATCATACCTGAAATAAGATCATGGACTTACTTATACAGATGTATCTCATATGTTTTTCAATATCAAATTGAAAATCATTAACAAATTTAGTTTAAAAAATCGAAGCAATGGACATGGCTAATAAAATACAGGATGCAGAATATATTCAACATCTGCAAAAAATCGCGACAACTACAAGGTTGGTTATTTTCAATTCTTAAGAGAAAAAAATAAAAAACAATTATAGTAAATGCTCCAGCAATTGTAAACAAAATTAAAAAAAATAAAATAAAAAAAAATTAAAGAAAATAAAATATGTGTTCAAATTATTTTTTTATTTTTTTTTTTTATTATTTTTTTTATTTTTTTTTTTATAAAATATAAAATTAATAATTTAATTATTTCTTTTAAAATTATTTAATAGTAATCAAATTATATAACAAATTTGTGTAATGCACAAATTATTATTAAAAAAAATAAAAAAATTAATTCAAAAAATTTATTTTATTTTTATTTAATTTTTTTTATTTTTAAATTTTTTTTCTTTTTTTTTTTTTTTTTATTAATAAAAATTTAATTTTTCAATAATTTAAAATTTTAATTATAATTTATAAAACCAATTTATATAATTATAAATATATAAGAAAAAATGTATCCAAATCCATACGGGTAAATATTTTAAAATACAATAGTAATATTTATTATTATTATTATTATATAAAAATACCATAACAATAATACTAATCTCTTTTTTTTTTTTTCTTATAGTTATCCAACTGGTGTACCACCAGTTTATCCTCCAGGTTATATCCCACCAATGGAGGTTCCAATGGCTCCACCAATGGGTGTACCAATGGTTCCACCAATGGGAGTTCCAATGGGAGTTCCAATGGGTGTTCCAATGGGAGTTCCAATGGGTGTTCCAATGGTCCCACCACCAATGGGTGTTGTACCAGGCGTATATCCAGCTGCACCATATCCAGTTGGTTATGGAGGTCCACATTATCAATATCGTCACAAATTCAAGGGCTATAAAAAAATGTACAAAAGAAGATATTATTAAATCAATAACTTTATTTCATAATATAAAAAACATAGATTATATTTGTAAAAAAAAAAAAAAAAAACAAAAAAAAAAAACAAAATGGCTATATAATTATTTGTATTTAAAATAACAATCACAATAAAAATTTGTATATATAAACAATATCATTCAAAATTAAAGAAAAATAATTTAAATTTAGACTTTTATCATTTTCATTTTAAAATAAACCATATCCTTTGTTTTTTTATAGGTTTTTTTTTTTTGTTTATTTACAGGTTTAAAGGAAATATCATTTACTTTTTTTTATGTGGAAAATATATTATTTTGATATAATTATTTATATTGCTGTTATTATTTTTTATATTACTATTTTTTTTATATTACTATTTTTTTTTTTTTTTTTTTTTTTTTGTTTTAAATTTAAACTAATACTAAACTTATTACAATTTCACCGGCTTCAGGCTCCAATTGTAAAACATGTAATGTTGGTGACTGATTTGTAATTTGTAATTTTTCAATATCGATTGAACATGTGCCAATTAACTCTATATTATCATTATTGCCACGGGTTGGTGAATTTGGTGGTGAACCCAAGCTACTACTACTATTATGATTGCTATCTGCACCGCCATGAGTTGAAGCTGCTGAACCTACTGCGCCTGTGTCTTTGTTAAATATTTTAAAATAGAGAATTTTTTCAGAATCTTTTTTAATTGTAACTCTTGTTTTATGGCCAAATCTTGGGTAGGGTCCGGCAATAAGAGGTGTTTTATTTGAGCTCTTTACAGTTGATGGGTCTGGCTCATGACCAACCTCCCACATTACAAATGAAACTATATCCCACATTGATTTCTTTGGTATTTTAAAATCTCTACCCTCGACAATTGATAATTCTAATTTAATTGATTTCTTTTTTTGATTTACTTCTTCAAATGTAACTTTCTCTTTTGTTAATTCTATTAATTATTAATAATAAAAAATATTAATATTGTATCTATATAATATTAACTTTTTAATAATTTTATGAAATACTTTACTATTATTAAAGTTTGGTGTATTTTGATCCAAGAATCTTGATAAATCTGATGACTTTCTTACTGATAAAGATGGATGAATTACTAAAAACTTTAAAAAATCTTGTAATGATTTCTTTCTTGCTTCTATAATATTACCGCTAAATTTATTTAGTTTTTTAGGGGGAAATTGAAATTGTATTTGAAAATTATGTACCAACTATCAAATAAATATAAAGTGGTTAGAATATAGTTTATGAGTTTTATTTATTGTCATATAGATTACTCCCATACCAATTCATATAATGAAAAAAACTCGCTAAATCTTCTTGCTATAGTATATTCACTGCCACTTGATGTGGTAACATCTATGATATATTCCGTAAATTTTTTACCATATTGCTCTCTATTCTCTGCGATCATAATCGATACATTTCTAACATCTACATTTTCCTCCATTTCTTTTATTTCTTTATATGATAAATGTGCTTTTAATAAAATTTTTTTTTAAAAATATAAATTATTTTTACGTAACCATAAAAATAATATTTAAATAAATAAATATATGAGTGAAATAAAATAAATGAAAATAAATAAAATATATATTTGTATTTATATGTATATATATTTATAACAAACTAAACAAAAAAACCAAAACAATTGTTTTTTGGTACCAACTAAAAAAATAAAAAAAAAATTTTTGATAGGAAAAAAAATTATATTATAAAAATAAAAAAAAGTTTTATAAAATAAAAAAAAAAAAAAAAAAGTTTTTATAAAAAAAATCTTTTTTTTTTATATAAAATTTTAAATTTTTTTTTTTTTTTTTTTTTTTTTTTTTTTTTTGTTTATTAAGATATAATCTTAAAGATATAAAAATAATATTACTATCGGTAATATTTTTTAAATATTTTATTTAGAATTATTTTATATTTTATATTTAAATATGAATTATTTAAATATTTTAAAAAGAAATTATTAATTAATGAATTATAATTAATATTTTATATTATTATTTTATATTATATTATTATAATTATTATTACATATTATTTAAATAATAATTATTATTTTATATTATTATATTTATTATTATATTTATTTTCTTAAAGGAATTTTGAAATTTGATTGTTTTGAGCTAATTAATAAATTTGATGATTTATCGACTTCAAAAGTAATTTCTAATGGTTCAGAACCATATTTAAATTGTAAATTTGAAATTAATTGATTATCTTTTGCTATTGATTGATCACCTTGATAAACAGACATATTTAAAGAGGTTTGGGCATCTTGAGTATTATTGATATTGAATGTACGTTTACATGGAATGAGTGATAAAGCTGGAATGACTGGAATTAAGTTACCATTTGAATCTTCGATACCAATAGTTTTGTTGGTAGCTTCAATTGTCATTGTATTGCCTGATGAAATCTTCTTGTCAGAGAGTGAATTGGTTGGTTGGTTTGGTGCCATTTGAGAAAGGATATTGGCTTGTAAAGTTGCACCATAAGCAACGACTTCTTCTTGATTCATAGATTTATCGATGATTTCTGCTCTTTGATCGAAAAATGCAGAGAGTTGACTTTGGATAGCTGGGATACGTGAACCACCACCAACTAATAATACCTTATCGACTTGTTCTTTTTTCATGTCACATTTTTCTAAAAGTGTTGAAACTGCACGAATTGCAGATTTGAAAAGTGAACCAGCTAAATCTTCAAATCTGGCTCTGGTGATGTTGGTGAAGAAATCAAGACCTTCATAAAGAGAATCGATTTCGACGGATGCTTGATTCATGTTTGAAAGGTTTCTTTTAGCTTTTTCACAGGCAGATTTTAATTTGGCTTTTGAACGAGCGCTCTCTTTCAAATCGACTTTATATTTTCTATTAAACTCTTGTGTGAAATGTTGGAATAAAACTTGATCGAAATGTTCACCACTGACATTATGGTCTGAAACATTGCCAATGATTTCAAAAAGTTTAGATTTGATTTTGACCATCGATACTGATACACCACTGCCACCTAAATCGAATACCATAACGTTGCTTTCGTGTTTGACTGCATCATCAGCTGCTGTTTTTTCATCGTAACCATATGCAAGTGCGACTGCGGAGTGTTCGTGAATAAATCTAACAACATTAATACCTGCTGCTTGTGCTGCGTCCTTTAAATCCTTTCTTTGTTTTTCTGTATAATCGGTTGGTACGGTAATAACGGCTTTCTTTATAGTATCTCCACCAATAAAGGTTTCGGCGGTATGTCTAATTTGTTGTAAAATATTGGTTGTAATTTCGATTGGAGTGACTTCAATATTCTTTTCTTTATAATTTACATTAAAATATATTTTATCAAAATTATCTTCATAAGTGGTTACTCTAAATGATAATTTTTTAATTTCGCTCTAATGATTTAAAAATAATTTAAATTTATTAGTAACAATGTTTAAAATTTTAAATAAAATATTATAATAATTGATACATACTTCGAATGATTCTTCATTTGTTTTTCTACCTAAAATTCTTTTTACATCATAGATTGTATTTTGTGGATTTCTATCCATTTGAGCTCTAGCTTCATCACCGACTAATTTATCTTCACCGACAAATGAAACTACGGATGGGGTGGTTCTGTTACCTTGTTGATTTGGACAGATTTCAACTCTACCATTTTTAAAAACACCGACACATGCATAATGTGTACCGAAATCAATACCCATAATATGATTAGTTTTACTTGACATTTTTATTTATATATGTGTATATGTATAAGTATATTTTAAATAAATAGAAAAAATAAATGGGGTTTATTAAAAATAAAAAAAAATAAAAAAAATTTCAAAATAATATTATTTTTAAAAAAAAAAAAAAAAAAAACGAAAAAAAAAAATAAAAAAATTAAATTAAAATAAAATTAAAAATTTTTTTTTATTTAAATACGAAAAAAGTTGGTTGCTTTTGGAAAAATCTCATACCTTTTTATTTTTTACAACCGAAACTATTTTTATGAAAAAACGAAATATTATTTATCAGATTAACATTAACACTTTTTTTAGTTTTATTAAAATTAATTTTTTAATTTTTAACTTCCCATCCCCTTTTTTAATAAACGGAAAAATAAATATATATTTAATAATTTATTAATCTAAATTTTTTATTTTTTTTATAATTTTATTTTATTTTATTTTATTTTATTTTATTTTATTTTATTTTATTTTATTTTATTTTATTTAATTATAATTTAGATGTAATAGTTTAAAACTAAAGATAATAAAATTAAAATATAAATGGTGGGGTCTGAGTTTAGATAGTTTGAGTTATTTACATTATCATCACTATCTTCAACTGGTTTTTTGGTTCCAGGTGATGGAGTTGTTGATGGTGTTTCTGATGGGGAAGTTGAATTGGTAGGTTCAGGTGTTTCAGGTGTTTCTGATGGTTTTGGTGATGGAGTAGATGAATTGGTTGATGAAATATCCTTTGGACAGATGAGTTGCGAATTTGAGAAGCAATCCATTTCTTCATATTCATTTACAAGGCATGATTTTTGGAAATCACACAATCTTTCAGAACATGCAAAATAGTCATAATAAGAGAGGAATTCGCCACCGCCTGGTTTCATACAGGTAAGATAGCTACTTATATCTTTTTGACATTGTGATGTAATGTTGATTCTTGGTACACAAGTTCCTTCACCTTTGACATTTGTACTGTCACATTTACATATTTCAAGTGGAGTTTGGCAATCACTGTCCAATTGACATTTTCTTTTAGATTGATCATATGGTATGCATTTGTTTGTGTTTCCGACCACACCACACTTTTTTAAGGAAAAATAAAATTAAAAAAAAAAAATTAATTATCACACCCATTTTATTTCAATTTTTAAATAAATAAACATATAACTTACATATAAATTTTTTTCATAGTTACAAAACTCTCTGTATGGTTCATTTTTTTTAGTTGGGATGCAAATATCATTTTCGTTTCCAGTGAAAGGTTGTATACATTTTCCATTTCCGCAAGTTAATCCTAAATCGCAACTATTAGAGATTTCACACTTTTCGTTTTCTTTTATACGAATAGTACAAATACCAACTTCTAACATTTCAAAAGCTTTCCAACAGTAGTTGTTTTTATCACATTCAGAATCTAAGGTTTTTATTTATAATATAAAATTAATAAAATAGATAATTTTTTTTTAATATTAAAATATCTTTTAAATACATACCTTTTTTACATTTATCGTTTTGTGCACATACACCATTGTTACAAAAGTTAGAAGCACAGTTTTCATTTGTATAACATTGTCCTCCTTTTGGTTGGTTTGTTAAAACTTGGCATATTCCTTGAGTGCAAAATTCACCCAAGTTTTTATTTTTACATGTATTTGAGTTTGAATCGGAAGAGCATTTTTCAAAATCCGAACATACATTAGTGGAGCTTATTGGGTTGCTATCGTTTTTACAATAAAGATTTTGGGAGCAAAAGCCTGGTAATGTAGGATTGGTGCATTGAAAATCTTTTTCAAAACACACGCTTTTTGCTTTACAGTCACAAGAAACTAACAAAACAAAACAATTTAAAAGTACAAAAAAAAGAATTAATCTACTCATTTTTTATAAATAAATAATAATAATAAAATATTTTTTATTTAGTTTTTTTAAACTAAAATATTTTTTAAAAAATTAAAAAAAAAATAGGTATTATTTGAAATTGGGAGATTTTTATAAATATCATAATGATAACAACATTTTTTTTTAGTCTATGGATGGAGTGTTTTTTCAAATAAAATAAAAATTACAGGACTATATAAATCTTTTTTACACACAAAATTGCATTGATGCACCAAATTTTTTCCATGAATAAAATAAAAAATATCTATAATATCAATAAAAAAAAAAAAAAAAAAAAAAAACACTAAAAAATGAATTATTGTTTTTGTTTGAATGCTTATTACGCTGGGAGTGTTATTTCAAATTTATAATAATTTTAAAAACATCAAATAATCATTAAATGAAAACCTAAAAATATTAAATTTATAAATCTATTAATATTTAAACCAAAATAGGTTTTATTCTATTAACATAAAATAATATTATTTTAAAAATTATTTTTATTCATTAGATTTATAATTTGATACTATATTCTTTTCCTATATTGAATATTAAACATAAACCACCCCATCTTTTAACTATATGAAATATTGTTATATACATTGATAGAAGAGTGGATAAACTAATTTTATTTATTTTTATTTATTTCTATTTATTTTTATTTATTTCTATTTATAATATTAATACATTTATTTATTCATTTATTTATTTATTTACTTATTTATTTTTTTAAAATTTAAATATAATTAAGAATTTTTATTATCACTATTTTTTTTTTTAAAATATTTTTTATTTTATTTCAATTTTGTTTTTAATTTACAGTCGCACTATTGCTCGTTGATGCTTTTGTTCCATTAATATTATTTAAAATTGATTTATTTGGTTCATCCAAGTTATGTAATTGTTTACCAACCAAATATTTGTCGTCTCTGATTGCATTGTGGAATTTAACAAGCCATTCTTTTGATTTATAAACCAATTTTTCAAATAAAAGGACAAAACAATAGCATGCAAAACCATATCTAAATGAAATTGATTCTAAAAGTAAACTTCCACCAAAGAATGGTATTAAACCTTTTGAAATACAAAATGGTACTGTTAACATTGTTAGTAAAAAGTGGGAAATTGGGAAAATGATTTTGCTAAATGTAAACTTCAAATCAATATTTGTAAAACCATTATTTTTAAACTGTTTTTTTTTTAAATAAAAATTAATTACTATACATAATAATAAAAATTAAACTATAAATAATAATATTAACTTACTTGTTTAAATCTATCGATCCATTTATCTCTTGGTCTATCTAAATCTTCGAGTAAATTATTACGATTATTATTTGGTTGATTAGTTGCAGTGATCCATTTATACCAGAATTTTAAGAGTAAAGAACCAAGACACCAGTTTTGGAAGATATCGCTGAAATGTATAAAGAATGTTTCATCATATGGTGCCATAATTGGAATCATAAAAATGAAATCAAATAAATAACCAGTCAATAATGGAATCAAAATACCCATAATAACACCAAGTAATAAAATTTTTGCCCCCTATATTAAAAAAAATTAGTATTATCTCTTTTGATGGTTTTATTATTATTATTGTTATTATTGTTATTATTATTTATTAAATTATTTTTTTGAAAAAACTTACAACTAAACTCCATTGAAGAATATTAACATTATTTAATGGTGAGAATAAGAAATAGATTCCTTTTGAAACTACCCAACTAATAAGAAGACCTACTAAAATGCTATAAATATCATTTTCATAATTTACAAATTGATGAAGGGTGAGTCTACCAATGAATACTGGAAGTGAAATATAAACACAAATTGTTGAGAAAATAGTTAACCATCCCAAAAATATAAAAATTGAAAGTCTTGTTTTAAAATTCTTTGGTTTATAAATTTCTTTTTTGATTTTCTCTGTGGTTTTTTTATTTATTTGTTGTGCTGGTACCTGTTGTTGTTGCTGATTATTGTTATTATTTCTGTTTTGTTGTCGAAGTTTTTCTTGTGGATCTGGAAGCAAATAACTATCTAATTTTAAGAAACGTGATGCATTATTAATCCAAAAACTAACTATATTTTTAATTGTTACTCTTGCATCAAATTTTGGGAAATATGAAATTGCAACAATAACTGTAAAAATTTAAAAAAAATTTATATTAAAATTTAATTTTAAAAAAAAAAAAAAAAAAAAAAAAACTACTTACATAAGACATCAGCAGAACCTTTGGTAATTGGATCGGACATTAGAATGTTAATTGGTAAGAAGTTTGGAATTAGGGTTAAAAAGAGGGCAGGTAAATAAACAAATAAGAAACCAATAATGGTATAGGCACATAAAGAAACACAAACTTTAACTACATGTCTCTTGAATGAGAGCTATAGATTATTTAAAAAAAAAATAATTAATAATAGATTTTAAAGATATACTATTATGAATAAATAACTACATACCTTTATCATATCTTTAAATGGATCAAAATCTGGGTCATTAGGATCTTTTAAAAACCAAATAACACCTTTTCTAAAGACTTGATGAAGAATAGAGCAAAGATTTGTAAAGTTTACCATGAAAAAGATACCGAAAATCCAACGCGAAAATAAGAATGTTAGTTTTTGTTTCAATGCAAACTCGATTCTAGTTTGAATGCATCCACCAAAAACTCTGAGTGAACAAAAATCGATAAATGCACCAACTATAATTGGTAAAATACCCAATTCACAAACTGTTATAACTGCAATCTTTACAAATGAATGTGTTAATGTCATAGCTTTTACTGATATTTTTTGAGAAATTAAAAATGACTATAATTATTAAAAAAAAATAAAAAAATTAGTATTAAATCCGATTGCCAACAAATATTATAAACCATATTGCAAACTTACAAGAAGACATAAAGCAACTACAGAAAGAATTGAATAACCAATAATTATTGAAATAGCACCTTGGGAAATTGTACCATCGGCAATTTGTAAAGCTTGCTTAACATCAATTGAAATTTTTTCAGTTAACATTTGACCAATTAAATAAGGGATATACAAAAATGTTGATAAAAAGATACTGTTATAAACTACTAAAATAAAACAATGGGTTAAAATATTAAATAATGGCCCTGTTAATCCAACTGTTGAAGTAAAAAATAAAAAACTTAGTAAAATGTTCACTTTTTAATTAAAATTTAATATTATAACTTACTGAAAGTTTCTAAATCATCAATTTGATTTGGATCATCATTTTCAATATCATTTTCATGTTCTTCTGGGCCATCTTGAAGTCTTAACATCTCAAATACACCTGGTATTCTAAAAAATACTCTTTCCTGTTGATCTTGTTGATTTTGTTGATTTTGTTGATTTTGTTGTTGTTGTTGTTGTGGTTGTGGTTGTGGTTGTGGTTGTGGTTGTGGTTGTGGTTGATGTTGATTATCTTGTTGTTGATCATTTTCAGCGCTATTATTATTAATATTATTATGGTGATTTAAACTTGCTGCTACAGCTCTCTCCTCTGATAAACGAAGTTGCTCTAAATGTTGTTGTTGTTGTTGTTGATGTTCTCTTAATCTTTGACGCAATCTATTTGGTATTTCATCATTGATTTGGAACCTTAGTTCATCATTAATTACAAAACTATCATTACTACTATCTGTATTATTTGTATTTTCTGTACTATTATCATTCTGTACTATATTTCCTATTGGTTGTTCAATATTATTAATAATTGGATGTTGTTGTTGTGGTTGAGTTACATTTCTATTTATATTGTTGTTATTATTGTTTAATCTTTCTAAATATGTATCATCTCTATCAATTTCGAATTCGTCTTGAATTTCAATTTCGGCATGTTTGTGATGTATAAAATCGAGTATCATATAACTTGCTATTGATGCTAAGATAATCCAAAAGAATAAAGTTGTACCAATGAAAAAATGATAGAAAATATCGATGAGTTTATTATTCTCATTTCTAAATTGTGGTGGTAATAGCCACTTTTGACCAAAAAATAAATTAAATACCCAACATGTTAATGTTGGTACTATAAATAACCAACAAAAAATTATATATATGATTCTTGATATCTTTTTAATATACCATTTAAATCTAATAAGTGCTTCTGATATTAATTCATAAAATGGAATAACATCTGGTGTATTGTCTGAATAAACTATATTATTATAAATGGTTAATATTTTATATAGGTGGTAGATTAGAATATAATGAATTACTTACTTGGTGTAAATCTAAATGGATGACCGCATAACTCACACGATGAACTTTTAGAATGTTGTATCCATTCTAGTAAACAATTTTGATGAATATACTTAATTGAACCACTGCATTTGCATGGATAAGACAATGGATTATCCGGGGTTGACCCGTTCCTGCAAACTCTACAAAAATCTTCTTCTTGCATTGTTGTTGTTTTTTTCTTTTTATTATAAAATATGTATGCACAAAAAATAAAAAATGAGTTTATTTGATTTCTATTTTATGATTAATACCATATATAAATATATATAATTTTCTTTATTTTCAAGAATAACCAGTATAAAAATTTATAATTTAAAGATAATAATAGATTATTTTTGAAAAAAAAAAAAAATAAAAACAATAATAAATTGAAAAAAACTATTATTTAATTAAAATTTGGATTATTAAATTATTTATTTATAATAAACGATTTATTATAAAAATGAATAAAATGAATAATTTTATGAAAAAAAAATAATAAAAAAAAAAATTTAAGATAAAAATTTAAAAAAAAAAAACAAAAAAATTAAAAAAAAAAAAAAAAATAAAAATTCTTTTTTTTTTTTTTTTTAAATTATTTAAATAATTTTATTTTTTAAATTAAAATTTCAATATCCAAAATGAACTAAAACAAAAATATTTAATGAAATTATTTAGTTATTCTTTATTATAATTTGATTTTTTAAGCCTTTTATAAATTCATTTAAAAAAAATGGTTTTATATAAGAGGCTTAAAAAATATGATAAAATATTGAAATCAAAAAATTTATTTGAAAATTTTTTTTTTTTATAAAATTTTTTAAAAAATTAATTTTTTAAAAAAATTTTTTATTTTTTTTTTTTAAATTTTCATTTTAAATTTTTTTTTTTAATTTCAATTTATTTATTTTTTAATATTACATATATATAAAACTAGAATATATAAAATATTCTTTTTTATAACTATCTACTTATTTATTTTTTTTTTATTGTTTTTATTAATAATTTTATTTTATTTATTTGGTGTGTGGGTTGTGTGTATTAAAAATAATTAAATTATTTTGCATATATCCCCCTACTCTCTATATATTTATTTTTTAATTTATTAATTTTTTTAATAAAATATAATTCGTTTTTTTTTTTTTTATAATAATTAATTTGTGTTTTGTTGTATTTATATTGTTTATTTTAAAATTTTATATTAATATATATTTATAATAAATAATAATTAGTTTTTTTTTTTTTTTTTTAATCATATTATATAAAAAAAAAAAAAAAACTATAGTTTTTAAAATAAAAAATGACAGAATTTGAAGCTATTGTTCATAAAGCTACAAACTCTAAAGTTACAGCCCCAAAAAGAAAACATGTTAGATGTAAGTAAAATTTTTTTTTTTTTACATTGTTGTAAAAAATATTAATTTTTTTTTTTTTTTTCAAATAAAATTTTTATTCATTTTAGCAATTGTATTAGAATGTTATAGTGAAAATAGTGCCAGAACTTTTTTTATGGAATTATATAGAAGACCATTGGATTCAAATGATGTAGTTTGTTATAAAGCATTAATTACAATTCACAAGGTCATTCAAGAGGGTCCAAAAAATGTATTAGGTGACACTATTAGTAGAGTTCAATGGTTTGAAGGATTAAGAGATCATTGGGCAAGATATGACAATAGAGGATTTGGGCATTTGGTCGCAGAATATTGCACATTATTAATCGATAAAATACGTTTTCATCAAGCTCACCCAGAATTTGACGGTGGTTTATCATTAGAGAATTATTCAAAAACTCATAGACCCGAGAATATCGAAGTTGATAGAGGCCTTCAACAAGTTAGTCATTTAATGGATCTTATGGATGCTTGTTTCAGGATGCATAATACCGTTGTAAATTCTACACCATATAATGATTGTAAAACTTCTTCTTTTATTCCATTAGTTTTAGAATCTTATGCAATTTATATTTTAATTGTTCATTTTTTTACACATTTAGTTGACAGTAAGTACACTTAAATTTATTTATTTATTTATTGATTAAATTATTAATTAATAATTTTTTTTTTTTTTTAAATTATTTTAGAAGTTGATAGTAAAGAAGTTATTGATTTTTCAATTAAAAGATTTTATGGACAATATCAAACTTTAAGAAACTTTTATTTAAATGCAAGTGCTATTACAAGTGTATCAAGTGTTATTGCAGTACCAAATTTACCACCAGATCCTCCAAAATTCATTAGAAAAGTTAAAGAACAACCAAAGCCAAAACCAAAACCAACTCCACTACCAGTTGTTGAAAAACCACCACAACCACCAACTCCACCACCACAACCAGAACAAATTCCTGTACCAGTACCAACACCAGTATTTATCCGTCAAACTGTACCAGTTGTTTATGGTGCTCCATATATGCAACAGCAAGATAATAACTCAATGTGGGGTCAATTTGGATCAAATAATCAACCAATGTACCAAGATCCAAATCTTTTAGCACAACAACAAGCAATGCTACAACAACAACAATTACAACAACAATTATTACAACAACAGCAACAACAGGCTTTATTACAACAACAAATGGCAAACCAATCACCACAACAATCTTCTCAATGGGTTACATTTGGTGATAATGATGGCACAACTAGACAACGTTCAACTAGTACTCCACCTGCCCTCGAAAAGAAAGAAGCTAATGTCGATAAAACTGCATCACCACCAAAACCACAAACTGCCAATAGTAATGGAGCTACCGATAGTCAAGGCAAAACTAGAGTTATCACTAAAATCATCACTAAAACTGTCAATAATACATCAGAAATCAATGCTCTCAAAGCTAGAATCGAAGAGTTGGAAAAACTTTTACAAGAAGAAATTGATAAAAACAAAGCATTAACATTGAAACTTTCAGAACGTGAAGCAATGATTCAAGAGGTCACTGCTGCAAGAAAGAGACTTCAAGAGATGACAAGCGTTAACGACAACTATACAGCCGAAGTGGTTAAACAAAATGATCAACTTCGTGAACAATTAATTGCCATTAGAGATTGGACAGAACGTCAAAGACTTTTACGTTTAGAAAAAGAGTTTGGTTCTATTAATGGTAATGTTTCTCAATATCTTCAATTACTCGACAATCCAAATAATTTAGGTAATCCAGAAGCCACCCATCAAATGGTAATCGAAGATCTTTTACACCACATGCAACAAGCCAATCGTTTACATGAACTTTGTAATCAAGAGGGTGATGATTTAGAAATGGATATTTTCGCCGCTGTCAATTCAGTTTCAGATTCATTAAAAGATTTATTCCATGACTCTAAAGGTTCCTCAAGATTAATTGTAGATCCAGAGTTACAAAGTAAATTTATGGATGCAGCTAGAAAAATTGGTGCTCTCACTCAAAATCTATTTGAAAGTGTACGTCTTCAGGGTGGTCAATGTCAAGATGATGAGGATCGTAAGAGATTGGCAAATAATTTAGCTTCACTTAAAGGTGGTGTCAATGCATTGGATGCATTAGCTCAACAAGCCGATGCCGATAGAATCGAAAAAGAAAAGAAATATTTAGAGAGTGGTTTCGACCTCGATGATATAGCTGAAAGAGAATTATTAGCTGCTGCTAAAACCATTGAAGATGCCGCCAATTCTTTATTGGCAGCAAAGTCAAAGAGAGAACCAAAGAAAGAAGGAGATGCTCCTGATGTCGCTGAGGCTATTCTCGAAGCCGCTATGGCAATTACTAGTGCTACATCAACTTTGGTTGGTGCTGCAACATTGGCTCAAAGAGAACGTATCGAAAAAGGTAGAACTAGTGATGGTGGTCCAATGTATAGAAAAGATCCAACTTGGGCTGAAGGTTTAATTTCTGCTGCTAAAGCTGTTGCTGCAGCAACCAAAGCATTGGTAGATACCGCCAATAAAGCTGCATCAGGTCAAGAAATTGTCGGTGGTACCGAGGAGGCTCTTATTGCTACCTCTAAAGCTGTCACTGCCGCCACCTCTCAACTTGTTTCCGCTTGTAAATCCAAATCTGATATTAATAGTCCATCACAACATAAACTTACAAATGCTGCAAAGAGTGTACAAAATGCTACAAACTTATTAGTTGCCGCTGCAAGAGCTGTAGCTGCAAAGGTTGCTTCAGAAGAAGAAATTGATTTCGATAAATTATCTGTAACAGGTTACAAAGTTAAAGAAATGGAACAACAAATGGCAATTATTAGATTGGAAAAAGAATTAGAAGTAGCTAGAAAAGGTTTGAGTGTTTTAAGAAAAAATGTTTACACTAATCAAAATTAAAATAAACAATAAAAAAAAAAAAATCAAAATATATTTATAAAAAAATTTTTTTTTTAAAAAAATCAAATAATATTTTTATATTTATTTAAAACTTTTGTATGGTTTTATATCAGTGATTTTCATTTAATATTGAAATTGATATTGATTAAAATGAATATGAAATTTTTTTTTTTTTTTTTTTTTTTTTTAATTTTTTTTTAATTTTTTTTTAATTTTTTTATTAATTTTTTTTTTTTTTTTTTTGATTAAAAATTTGAAATTAAATTTTGAAAAAACAGGTCATCATTTTGAGATGTCCCATAACCACTTTTGATTATATTGATATTGGGTTTTAAAAATAAATTCATTTAATTATTAATGTGCAAATTGTCACAATCCATGGCTGGGTGTTATAACCTGTAATCCAAAAGAAGCCTTGGGAGTAAGGATGGGGGAGGTTGGTCAGAGTTAATGGAAAAAACACAGCATAAAAGATGATCCACTGTTACAGCGGGGTCAACATCCACAGAGTCCGTATGGATTACTGCGAAGGTTGATAATGACAGATCCTAGGTACAGGCTAGCAATAGAGCACACAAAGAAATGCGCCTCGTCGGGAGTGGGGGAAAGTCATCCTAAATGTGTCCAAAGATAATGATTAGCTAAACTTCAGACAAACTTTTTTTATTTTTTTTCTTATTTTTTTTTTTCTCTTCCTACCTCCTGGTTCGATATGCTTTTCGCACCCAATCTCGCAGAATCAAACACACCGAATCACGCATCAATTGACTTTACTGTGCCCAACTTGTATGTAGAAGTATAAAACAATAAGGATTGCCATTATAAAAATTACCAATACTCAACAGTCATTACTATTATAAGACCAAGACATTAAGTTAATTTTATATTTACATTATATTTTCAATAAAAGAAACAAATTATTGAATTACCCAAATTGTTTTTGAAAAAAAAAAAAATAAAAAAAATAAAAAATAAAAAAAGATTCAAATATTAAAAATTTAAAAATAACTGACACTTTTTATTTATTAATTAAAAATACTATGTAGATGATATTTAATGATTTCTAAAATCATAATTCTTGTTGCAATATACACGTGAAATAACCCATTTATTCACTTCTTAAAACCCTGCTTGACCAGTTACTTGGACTACAACTTTAACTAATACATAAATTGAAATATTGTATCTATCTTGATATAAACTATTTTATTATTGGATCTATCTTGATATAAACTATTTTATTGCCCACATTTGATTCTACACTATATCCATTCAAAGTTGATTTATACTAATATATATGTTTATATTATTTGTATTATTACATTTTACTTCACCCTGGTCTTAATCTATATCGAAACTTTCCTCATCACTATAATCATTTTGATGAAGGTGAATGTGAAGGTGTTTATGAAGGTGATAGTGATAGTGGAAGTGGGTGTTAGAATTACCATTGGTATATTCTGATTCTTTAAATTCTTCGTTATTTAAAGATAAAATTTTGTCCCTATCTTTTGTATCAATATTTATATCATCTGGTTCCAATGAACTAATATTTATTGGTGATAATGAAGGTAATGATGAAGAAGAAGAAGGAGATGATGGCAAAGATGATGGCGAAGAGGATATTGGTGATGATGATAAAGTAAAAGATAGTCCGGAAGATAAATTTGAAGAAAAAGATGATGATGGTAAAGAAGAGGAAGGAGAAGAGGATGATGGTAAAGAAGAGGAAGGAGAAGAGGATGATGGTGAAGGAGAAGAAGAGGAAGAGGAAGATTTTGGGTTTTCTAAGGAGTCTATTTTTATGGAAGCACTAGCTTCGATATATTTATTTTGTTGTTGTTGTTGTTGTTGTTGTTGTTGTTGTTGTTGTTGTTGTAAAATTTTTTTTATTTTTCTGACCTTAATTACTAATAATAATGCGCAAAAGAAGGAGAGAATTCTAAAAGCATAAATAAAAAAAGTAATATATGGGGATTCCATTTTATATTATTTTATTATTATTATGATTGTTCTTTATAGATAATTTATTATTATTATTGGATATTATAAATAATTTATATCTTTAAAATATATAATTATTGTTAATATTTAATTAATGATGATTATGAAATGTATATAAAAACGAAATTATTTAAAATGAAAAAAAAAAAAAAATTTTCAAAAAGGAAAAAAATTAAAAAAGAAAAAATTAAATTTAAAATTTAAAAAAAAAATTATTAAAAAAATTATAAAAATTAAAAAATAAATGTGGGCTACCCCAATATGAATCACAAAGAGTATGAACTTCATGGTTATTTAATAAAAAAACTATTTTATGAAATTAATTCAAAAAAAAACAATAAAATTATTTCAAATTGGTAAATATATCATAAAGGAGAAAAAGATATTATTATGTTGTTATTTTAGAATGAAAAAGATAACGATAATTGTAATAAATGAAGATAACGATGATTTTATATAATAGTATTTTTAAAATAATATTGTTGATTATTTATTTTAAAATATTTAAATTAATTAATATGTTATCAAAAATAATATTTTTTTAATAAAAGTTTGAAATTAATTTTCTTTATACAAGGTTTTGTGCATATATATTTTTTATTATAAAAATTCTTACCAAATAAAAGAAAGGATAAATTAAATATTTTTATAATTTATAAAAAAAAAAAAATTTATTTAAATTTTATAAAAATAAAAAAATTAAAAGAGTTAAAATTGTAATAACTATACCTTTTAATTGAGGAATTAAAGTTTTAAATAGTAATGATCCAGATGAAATGATGAAAATCTGGTATAACTTGATTAGATTGTTTCTTCTTTGTTCATGCCGTCTTTGATAATTGTTTTTTGATTGAATAGGATTCGCTAAAAAGAAACAGACTGAATAAGCGATTTGAATCCCAAAGATAATGATTAGCTAAACTTCAGACAAACTTTTTTTTTTTTTTTTTTTCTTGGATGTGTAATTTTTTTTTGTATTAATTGCTTACCACTAATTTTTGACTTACACCCTTCAATAAGAATGGCAGGGATGCATAAAAATTTTTCTTTTTTTTTTTCTTTTTTTTTAATTAAAATTTTTTTTTTTTTAAATTTTGTTGATGTGGGGGAAAATTAATTTTTTTTTTTTTTTTTTCATTTTCGTTTTATCAATATACAAATAATTATATTCATTTATTTATTTATTATAATAGTCAATAATAATAATTAATAGCAATAATTCTTCATATAAACCAATTAATAATTTCAATATCCACTTTAAAAAAAAATGAACGATTATGTTGTTTTATTTTGTGAAATCATAATCACAGTAGTTATTTCCTTCTTATTTGGTATGGTTTTTATTAAATACTATTTCAACAACAAAATTGGCAACAACAATGGCAACTACAGAAATGAAAATGGCAATAATCAATCAACTACATCACAATATGCTTGTCCACCATCCTGTGATGAATATTTAGCTGAGCAAAGAGTTCAACAACAAGTACAAAAAAAACATCAAGCAATTGAAGAATTGCTATATCTTAGAAAGCAAGAATTGGAAAAACAAAAACAATTTAATTTTAAAAGTACTTCACAATCACATAATGACCCACCAAATATGAACGACCCATCTTATTACCAACAAATGCCATATGCTCATCCAGAATCAGAAAAAGAACCTTCAACCTACCCAACATTCAATAAAAACGAGGCTCTTCATTCTTTTTCTGATGACCCACAACCATCCAATAATACAGAATCGGATCATATGTTTAAAAGAGAACCATCCGCCTACCCAACCTTCAACCAAAAAGAATCACGTTATTCTGTTGAAAAAGAACAATCACAATATGCTCCTCCAGAATCAGCAACCTCTCCAAATGAACCAAATAAAACTTATAAATGGGAACCATCTAATTACCCAACTTACAACCAAAATGAATCGAGTCATTCTTTTTCTGGTGCACCACAATCACACAGTTATCCAGAATCACAATGTAATGGTGCAAATTTCAATGGAGAATCACCATTTGTAGAGGAGTATGATGAATCAATTGGGGAATGGGTTCCATTTTCTTAATCAATATAAGAAATATAAATATAATCAACACGGGGGTCAAAACATTTTACAACATTATCAGCTAAACTCAATGCCATTTTCAAATAGCCAACTCATTATTTTTTCTCAATAACCACACTTAAATAGTTTTTTCAGTCAGTTCCATCAGAGATAGCTTATCCTAAAGAAGAAATAACATCCTATATAAAATTAATCAAAATGATAATAATCATTAGTTAAAATATTATTTATTATAACCAAGTTTCAATATTTCAATATAATCAACTATTAAAAGAATATATATTTTGTCCTGGCCAGTCAAATGTATTAAAACTAAATAGTTTTATGAATAAATAATTGTCCTTACAGTACCATCATGGTTTTATCAAAATATTTAAAATATGGTTCCAATAAGCCGGTATAAAGCCATTGTAGAAATATATCTGGTGGTTTAGGTATTTAATTACTGAGTATGTTGTCATTCTTTTCGGTGGTTATTAGAACCAAATAATGGATCCTCACATTATTAATGGTTTTAACCAAGTAGTTCCACCCGACACATTACCATATAGTCTCACATTTGGTGGTGGTCTCATAGTACCGAACAAAGAAGTCATGAAAACAATAAACAAATTATCCCAAGAAAATAATCAAGAAAATCAAAATATAGAACAAGATTTACATTATAGTTGGCAGAGATAAAAAGTTATTGTGTGGGATGCATAAATAATACTAAATAAACTTTTTTGCTTAAAGATCATTTTAATAATTTTTTGTGGGACATATTTTTAATTGAAATTTTTTTAGAAATAGAGCTTTAATATTTTTTTAATTTCTTTGAATAATAATAAAAGTTTAAAATTTTTTTTATAAAAAATTTATTTAATTATTATCAGTTTTTTAAATAGATCTTTTATTTTTTTTTTTTAATTTTTTTTAATATTTTTCGGAAAATTTTGGTGTATACTTTTTTTTTTTCAATCATTATTAATATAAAAATTGGTAATTTATATATTTTATATTCACAATGGATGAGCTTCTATCATCTCTAATTAACTTTCAAGTAAATGAAGAGTTAAAAAACAGTAGTAATATTAGTGATAGGTAAGTGCAAAACAATAAATATAAATATTAGCCTATTAATTAAAAGCATGCTAATTGGTGTTTTCTCTTTTTTAACTATTTATTATAGATTATTATTTATTGTTTGGAATAATATATTTTTAAGAAATGAAATTCATAAACATATTTTAAAGTTTATTGAACATAGTGTTGTACAAATTAATAGACCAAATTATTACAAGTTTAAAGATAAATCATATATAACAACACTTACATGGCATAGTTTTTCACTTCTAGATAAAAATGAATTTCCACCATTTTTGACAAATTTATATTTGATCTATTTAAATATGCCACCAATAAATTTACCAAATACAATTACAACTCTCAGATTGGGTCGTGATTTTAATCGAGTGGTTCCACCCGGCACTTTACCAAATAATCTCACAACACTCACATTCGGTGATTATTTTAACAAAGTGGTTTCACCTGGCACATTCCCAAATAGTCTAACAACACTCACATTCGGTGATTATTTTAACCAAGTAGTTCTACCCGGCACATTCCCAAATAGTCTCACAGCACTCACATTCGGTTATTATTTTAACAAAGTGATTCCACCTGGCACATTCCCAAATAGTCTCACAGCACTCACATTCGGTTATTATTTTAACCAAGTAGTTCTACCCGGCACATTCCCAAATAGTCTCACAGCACTCACATTCAGTTATTATTTTAACCAAGTAGTTCTACCCGGCACATTACCAAATAGTCTCACAACACTCACATTCGGTCATCATTTTAACCAAGTAGTTCTACCCGGCACATTACCAAATAGTCTCACAACTCTCACATTCGGTCTTTGTTTTAAACAAGCATTTCCACCCGACACATTACCAAATAGTCTCACAACTCTCACATTCGGTGGTTTAAACCCATTTATTTCACCCGACAAATTACCAAATAATATCACAACACTCACATTTGGTGAAATAAGACTAAAAAGAGACAAAAATAAAAATAAAAAACTACGCGTTGTATTTTGATGATTCATCGGTATTGGGTAAAGTTTAAACCTTATCGCTCAAGTTAAATTTTGTGGTTCAACATCAACATTGACACAATTACCCACATTATTGTAGTTAAGAAGGTATTCCATCAAATGATTATGGAAATGTTAGTTCAAACGGTAGTTCGCTCAGTGATTCAAATGGTGGTCTAAGCAATTTTTCAAGAAGGGTTCAGTTGGTGGTTCAAGCAATTTAAGTGGTGGTTCAAATGGTGGTCCCAATAATGGTTCAAGTAATCAGTAAAATGGCAGTGAAAGTAATCGTCCAAGTGGTTGTCAAATGGTCGTTCAAGTGGTAGTTCGCGTGGTCAAGAAATTTTTACGTAGTTATATAAATAGTAAATCAAATGTAGTTCTATCTATTAGTGATTCATGTGGTACTTCAAATGTTAAATACATTGAATTGTAGGAGTCCAAACAATTTAAATAATATCGGTCTAGCTAATAAAATCAGATTAAGAACCGAAAATAAAAAAGAAGTTAAAAGAATTAGGGAAGTGAGGAGAGATCTTCGATTTGAAAAGAAATAAAATAAATAATGTATTTAACTTTAAAAAAAACAAATAAAAAGCACATTAATGATATTGATTAATAATAGAAATAAAATAAAACTATTTATTTAAATTAATAGGGGAAAGATGGTTTTATTTATCTGTATGTTTATAGGGGTTTCATTATTAGTCATTTAAATTTATTATTATTCATTGTTTTATTTTTTAATTTCCTAATACTTTTTTTTTAAATTCTATTTTTATTTCATCATAAATGTTTAAATACTAAATTATTAGATTCCAGTTGGATTTGACGGAAAATAACCAGGTTTTACTTAATTTTTAAAAAATTCAAAAAACGATTGGAAAAAATATTTAACGAAAAAATTCGAAAAATAATATTTTTTTTTAATTTTTGCGTTTTTTTTGTCAACAAATATACAATAATGAAGAACCCATCATTTTTTATATTTTTATTAATAATATTTTTAACCACTATAGTGGAAAAAAAAAATGGATCAGCAGTAGAGAATATTGAATATTATTGTTTAAAAAATTTATTTTTTTACACAAACGGGCCACAATTAGAATTTCCTTCCAATGGTAATCTTCATATTTTGGATAGAAATATTACAGTTAAAAATTCAGCTGTTGATTCTCTTAATATATTTCAAAATACCTCTCAAATAATATTACCTGAGTATTTCAGTTGTTTTGGTAGTTTAATTACACTGTATTTATTATTTTAAAATTAAAAAAAAAAAAGAAAATTAATATTGATTTTTATGATTTTTATAATTAGATTTTTAAATGATGCAACTCTCAGCGAAGATTTTTTAGAAAAGGAAAATCAATTTCAAAATAATATAAATCTTTACCTATTGACACCAAATTTAGAAAATTTTGAAATTAAGAGGCCATTATCATCAAAAATTAAAAAATTTTATTTTTTAATTAATTCGCAATTCAAAAGGCCCCAATTATATTATACTGATTACTTTTTATCTGCAGATGATGTCTCTATTATAAAAAACAAAGATGATATATCTATACCAAATATAAGTTTTGTAGAGTCTCCACCAACGTTAGGGGGCTCTAATATTACTAAAATGTAGGTATTATTATTTTTATTATAATAATTAATTTTTTTAAACTACAATTTTATATTAATAATAATTTTAATAACTTTTTAAAAAAGGCAATTATTATCTAATAATTTACCAAATTTTAAAAATGTAAAACTAGGATCATTGGTTGTATTCTTAGATGAAAATTATAATGGTGATTTTAGTTTATTTTCAACTTACCAAGATATAAAAACAATGTACGTATTAATATTTCAATAAATTTTAAAATCATTAATTATTAATTCTTTTTTTTTAGAGTAATTTATCAATATAAATTTGACAAAATATATAGTACTGAAACAAATTTAAAGGCAATGGAACAACTAATTCCAAACGTAACATCTATGGATTTTTATTTATCATTATCTCCTCCTTCCTCCCCAATAGAGATTGATAAGTATTATCCAAATTTAACTTCCCTTCAAATATCAACCAATAGAAATTTTGAATATACTGTAGGAACATCAAAAGAGTTCCAGTTTTTAAATGTAGGAAGTAGCTTATTGAGTTTTCAACTAACGGGTTCAAAATTTGACAATTTAAGTGGGGCTTTTAAAGTTTTAAAAAATCTTCCAACCGTTTCCTTAATAAACAATACTATAACAGCAAAGTTGCCAGAGTATCATGGTTTTGAAAAAATAAACTCTTTATTCCTTTCAAGTAACAAATTATACGGTTCAATTAGCACTGACTATTGCAAAATTTCAGAATTTGATTTTTCATATAATAATTTATCAGGTTATTTACCAAGTTGCTTCACATGTTATTGGAGTTTTGTTAAAGAAAAATTTAAAGGTACTTTGGTTCAATATGATGCAACAAAATTAAATGAAAACTGTGATGAAATTTCACCATCTTTATATTATAACTATTCAACAAAAAAGGTATATTTAATTGGTTCTAATTTAGGTTTTTCAGTTAAAATGTTCAAAACAGATTTAGATTTAGATTGGATAAAAGAAATAGCTTCAGAAAAATATTCAACATTTTTAGAGACACCAGTAGTAGATCGATTGATTAATATAACATTTATAAATTCAGTTTCCTACTATATGAAAATGATACCAACAGTTCCAATTGTTCATAATTACACCACATATAACCAAAATAAAACTCTTATTTTAAGAGGTACAGACTTTACAAATGATAAATCATTAATCGAAATTAATGTTGCTTCATATAAATGCAAAATTAAATCATCTAGATATGATTATGTAGTGTGCTCCATTCCAGATAATTCCGAACTAGCAAAAGTAATGGTTGTAAATATTCATGTTTCTACCCCAGATTCAACATTATCTACACAAATTACCATTGATTTCCCTACCAATCCAGATACAATCAATACACAACCTGTTTTATACTGCCAATCCAATTGTAGCAAAAATGGTTTTTGTGTTACAAATAATGCGACATGTTCATGTTTTTCTAAATGGACCGGAAGTGAATGCTCTTTACCTATTCAGTCTATTAGTTCAATTGATCCATGTACTTCTAGTGGAGGTCAAGTTATTATACATGGTTGGTTTGGTGATGTTCATGAAGACCCATCAATAACTATTGGTAATTTACCATGTTCAAGTCCTCAATTTACATCTGATACTATAGTATGTCAATTAGGTGGTGGAGATGGCACTAAAGATGTAGTTATTACACAAAATGGAGTACAAGTAGTTTTCAAAAATAGATTCCAATATCTCAATTATAATTACCCATGCCTTAATGATTGTACATCACCATTACATGGTACATGTAATACCACTATAGGTTCCTGTATTTGCAAAGATTCATGGACTGGTTTCGATTGCTCATTAAAATCATCTAATGACACCAATGGAAACAATATACCAGGCTCAAACTCAACAGTTGATACAGATACAGGTGAAACATCAATTTCAAATGAAAATACAAATTATCTTGTTGGTTTAATAGAATTAGTAGAAATCGATGTTAATGGTAATGAGGCAAAGAGAACAGATTTACAAAGTAATTGGAATGCTACAGTTAAAAATTCAATTTACAAATTCTCAAAATCATATGAAAATTTATTCAATATAGTTTATACAGTCGAGCAAATTAAAGAGCAATTAAAAGAATATACATATGCAGGAATCAAACTTTCAATACCCAAGGGTGGTATCAAAATCTCTGTAAACATTACAAACTATCAGTATCAAAGTTCATTAAATACACTACAATTAAGATTCCTATCAACTGTCAAAGAAAGCGATTTAAATGATTGTAATAATGAGGAATCTAAAAGCACTACTAATATAGACCCAAATTTAACCTTAAATTATATTTCAATTAAAAAAAACAAAAGAATTTTTTCAGGCAGATTCATCAATCGTATTGAATCAGATGGTAGGGCTACTTTTATGTCAAGTGAAATTGTATCATCAAATTCAACAAGTGTTATTGTTGGTTTAAATTTACCATTTTGTAAAACTTGTTATATTGACCCTGGTAATTATTAATTATTTTTAAAAAGATTCATATAAAAATTCATATATATTAATATATATTTTTTTTTTCATAGATTTCTCAGTACTAGTATCACCTGATTTTAAAGCATGCAACAAATCAAGAGAAAAATGGATAATACCTGTTGCTGTGGTTGTACCATGTGTAGGGGTTGCTTTAATAATCATCATCATTGTTTTACTCTATAAAAATTATAAATATTCAATCAAAGAAAAACTTGATTTTAAACTTAGAGTGTTTAATAAAGAATAAAATAAAATTTAATAATACTGTATTAATAATATTTAACAATTTATCTATTTAAAAAAAAAAAAAGAAATATCAATTTTATTTATTTCTTTATAATTGAACAATGTGACTTTATATTTATTAATTCTGTAAGTACGATTGAAAGTTCCTTCTTTAATAGGTTGGTAAAAATATTTTTTTATTTTCGCTTCACATTTTTTTTTAATAAATTTTTTTTAATAAATTTTTTTTGATAAATTTTTATTATGCGATCAGATCAAAACATGCCATTTAAAAATTTTCAAATAAAAAAAAAAAAAAAAAAAAATTTTAATATGGGAAATCTAAATAAAAAATTAACATTTCCCATTTAAATCAAAAAAAAAAAAAAAAAAAAATTAATAATTAAATAATTTAAATTAAAAATTTATTAATTTAAAAAAAATTTATTAACATTAATTTTTAAAAAAAAAAAAAAATTTTTATTAATTTTCTTTTTTAATTTTATTTTTTTAACACATCACATCAAATAACATCACACCATAAATATGAATAATAGTAGTAATAATGATAACAACTATGATGAAAAAACCTCAAAAGTATTTTATCTAGTTTTTCATAATAAATTTTTATTTAATAAAATATTTAATTTCATTCATTCAGTTGAATTTATTAAATATAATAGTTTAAATGATGTTCAAAATGAAAGATTCATTTTTAAAAATATAACATCATTAAAGTTTCTACTAGAAAAAAAACTATATCATTTATTAAAATACAAGTTAGAGTCTGATGAATATATCCATGTGGATAGTAAAATTGATTTTATAAAAATGATCAGTAGTCACAGAGATTTGGCAAAAGAAATATTCAAATTATTTTTACAATCAACATTATTTGGAAATCTTAACGAAAGCAATAATATATTTTATGTATCCTTAGAAATGTTTGATGAGGATTTTATTCAAAATATACTTAATGGACCAAACTCTCATCCAGTTCTTCCTTCAATGTTATTGTATTTCTTTGAATTTTCAACAAATTCAAAAATTAAAATAGTATTAGATTCATTTTATAATATAAATAAAAATAACAATAGCAACAACATCAATAATAATAACAATAACAATAATAATGAAAACAAAAAAACCCTCCAAATTAATAATAATATTTCTAAAACCTTAACATTCCAAAATGAATATAAAAATGAAATAATATCCAATATTTATCATTACAGTCAATTTAAAGATTGTTTTCAACGTGATAGGGTATTACAACTTGTTTTAAGCAATAAAGAATATTATAATATACATAATAATAATAAAATCGATATAGTAGATATAGTTTTCAAAACAATATCAATAGAGAATCAAAATAATTTATTAGATTTGAAATTATATTTTTTACCTAGTTATGTTTCAAAAAATAACCAATTATTCATAGAAATAGATGATATAATTGATAATAATAAAGATAACAATAGAATAATAAAACTATCAGAATATATTATAAATAATTTTATAATTTTAGGAGGATGTACTCATAACTATTCCAGATTTTTAGAAATAAAACAATATCCATTTGATTATTTTTCCCATAAAAAATCAATCAAATTAGAAGATTTAAAACTACTTTTACAAAACAATACAAATAATTGGAAAAAAATCAAAGATCATAATCATTCACCATCATTTTATGAAATAGATTTAGAATCTATCAAATTTTATTTTGAAAATGAAAAACATTTATATTTTATCGAATCCGACATTTGGGAAGCAATAGGGTGTATGTTTTATAAGTACATTTGCAAAATAGATAAAAAAAAGTTCTGCAATCTAATTGAATCAATACTACCGGGTAAATATAAAATTTATTCACTGTGGAAGGAGGTAGTTATAAGAACAAAAACAGAAATACCAACCTATATAATTACAGACTCAATTAAAAATTATAAGGAAAATAAAAAACCAATAGGAGCAACAACAACATTACTTGTAGTCAAAGATAAACAAACAGTCGATTTAATTTCAGAAATCATGGGTTTGTATAAACGAACTATCCCGGAATATGTCAATAAATTTCCAGGTCCAAGATTCTCTATTTTAGATATCATGGGTTCTAGTGGACACTATCCACCTAAAATAGACGAGAACACCTTTAAATTCAATAGCCTTGAATTATTAAAATATACAGATGAAAATATCTTTACATTGGCAAATTTAAATGTTTTCGGACAACCACTAAAGAATGCCATCCAAATTAAACTCATAGAAGATGCTGTTTTGGAAATACCACTCAAGAATGCCATCGAAGCATTTAATTTAGAAGAATTAAAGTCAATATTTGAACTTATCAAAGATTATAGTTTATCTAGACTATACTATTCATACAAGAAACCAAATAGACCACTATCAGATCAAGATATTACACAAATCACCGAAACTATCGAATATTTCATCAAAATCAATTGTCCTCAGGGTGTCTATTATTGTTTAGATCTAATGCCAGAAGGATATTATGAACACACTGAAAAAGATATCCCTTTAACCAATCTATTTAATAATTGTGAAGTTTTAACCACAGTATTCGCAATATCAGTGAAACTTCTATCAGTTCACATCATCAAGCTATTAATTAACAAATATCATTATAATGCAGATCTTGAAAACAAATTATCAAATTACACCAGTAGCTTTTTTGAAGTTGAAAAGCTTAAAACCAATAAAAACCCTCATACTCCTTGGTTGTTTTACAACTACCACAATAAAAAAATAGATTTTCAAACACAAAGATACGATAATATCAATATCTATGATGTAATATCAATCATTCATTTAATAATTAGTAAATCTAAACAATTACAAAATAAAAAAGGACAACAATCAATATCAAATATCAATGAAAATTATATTTTTACTCCAATACCTAAAGTCAACATTTATCAAGGTGAGGCTCTTATGATCCTAATCAACAAATTGTTTAAAATATTAATTCAAAGTAAAGGTGAAGTGCCATTTGAAAAGATCAAGTCAACTTATCGATTCATCAACAGCTCTGGTGTAACTACAGTTCAAAAATCAGCATTATTTTCAATTTACTATCTTGCGAATAAATCATTAATTCTCACCAAATATTTATTTGGTTTATCAATGTTTGAAGTTCTTAATTACAGTGAAAATGTTTTTAATTGTGAAGATCTTGAAATATTGGTTAAAAGATTAGAAGACTTGATAGATCCAGAAGTGTTTTCATTTGAATATATATTTGGGAATAATAGATGTATTTATTGTGACAATGGTGCGTCATGCGGGGATATAATCGAAAAGCTTCATCAAAACATTTTTAACAAGTTACACACAATCTACAAAAGACCACCTCTTTTATTTATCTCTAACCTTTGTTTCCGAACTGTAAAAACCTTGTTGTACCTTCAAAGATATGATTTGTTTTTAAAATATTTAGAAGAATTGAAACTCAGAAACATAGGGATAAATGGAATCATAGATCCAAGTTTTATAAACTTAGCAAACATTTTTAAAACTGGTGACAACACTTTAATCTCTACATTATTGAATGGATACAGCATATATTGTATTTTTACAATAGAAGGAGTCCAAGATTTATTAAAATATAATATCGAAAACAACACCAATATCGGACAGTCATTAATAAAAAAAGAAATACACACTATTTATGATAAGAATTTTCATTCAGATTCAATATTAGCTCTCCACCATTTAATATTTGGCGATAATAGTGAAATTAAGTTCTCATTTATAATCGAACTATACAAAATACCATTCAAACTATATCATTTCCTCCTAAACACTTATCCAAATAATGCTCTATTAAAACCTTCAAAAAAATTAATAAATGAAGCCATACATAAAGATTTTATCGTCTTCCTCAAAAAACTATATCAAAATGATCTTATCAATGACGATATTGACAACACCAACGATGAATATAATCAACTACTATCCCATTTGAAACAAAAACTATCAGAAAATTTAAAATGTAAATATATTAACTGGTTTAATTAACGTTTCAAATTCTTGTGTGATATATTTGAACAAATTAAAACAATGGAAATATCAATAAAAAAAAAAAAAAAAAAAAAATAAATAAATAAAATTTTTACACTTTTTTAAATAATAAAATAATTAATCTCGATGGAGTGTAATTCATTTTTTTTTTTTTTTAAATGGGGAATAGATTCATGTGCTCCCTAAGAGATAATTAATTAGAAAACGTAAATTATTATTTATTACAACACAGGGTTGTAATAAGGCTAGCCCATTGTTTAATATCAACATTGTTGTAGCGCACATCCATTAAAAACAGATATAATTGGATAGTTTTGAAATATTTTCATATTTTCACCTTTTTAATTAATTATTTTTTTTCAAATAAAATATAAAAATTTAAAAATGAAAAAAAAGTTTTATTTTTTTTTTTTTTTTTTTTTTTAAAAATATTTTTTTTTTTTCATTTTTTTTTTATTTCTTTTTTTTTATTTTATATATTTTCAAAAGGGTGATATATACAATGTTAAGAAGGTTAATAACATCAAACCAGCAATTATTAACACAAAATGAAAGGTTAATAATACTTAAATATTTTTATACATCACCAAATCAACAACCAAAAATAACAAATAATAAAAATATCACAAAAAACAATCATCACAATAATAGCAATAATGAAAATAACGATAAAAAAAATAAATTTAAAGGAGACTATAAAATCCCAAAAGTTATCTCACCACCTGCATTTCTTGCTGAAAGGTAATTATAATTAAAACATTAATTATTAATAAAAGAGAATAATAAATAAATAACCAAATATTTTTAAAAAATATAGAATATCAAGTATTTTAAGCTCAATTTTCAATTGTTTAAATAAATACCAAATTCAAGATTGTTTATCCAATATTGATAAACTTAAATCAATTAAAGTCGAAAGATATCAACCAATGTATTCAGTTTTTCAGAAAATGTTAGAAATAATTTCAGAGGAACAAAATATTAAAAAAAGAGATAAACTATTAAAAGAAACAGTACAGCATATAGCCTTACATTATTCAGAAACAGATCTCATTCAAGTTTATTGTTACAACCTAGTAAATGAAAAGCATTTGATAGCTAGACAAATAGAGAATGCAATGAGTGAACATATTGGTTTAGAGAAAATCGATTATATCACAAATGATATCATCAAAAATTTATTATATTTCAATAGAGTCGATCTGGCATTAAGAGTCTTTAGAGACCGTTTTCAATTGTATCATGTTGGCAACTCTATGGGAATAGTAAAATTATTTTTCGACTTTCATATAAACAGGGATGAACTCGATCAAGCAGATGTTTGGGACAGCAGAAAAACCACACTATACCACAACGATCAAAAACTTCGACAATTTTTTGCAGACAAAACCACCAACTTTAATATGGGTCTACTGGATGATCCAAAAGACTATCGTCATTTTTTCCAAAAAATTCACTTTTTCTGTAATGGCAAGTATTGTGAAAAGATTCCAAAAGATATACCACCCAATCAACTACCAGCTGAACGTAGAGATAATAAAACAGTCCAATATCAAATAGAACTTAGCAATGGTATTTACAATAACGATTGTGAAAAGATTGAGGAGGCACTGTTGGGATACTTTTTCGAAAATAATATAATACCATGGAAAAACACTTTAATCAAAGCATTGGCTGTTTTAAAAAAGAATGGGGAATTAAACACCAAATTCCCAGATTATGTTAACTCAATTCTAACCTACAGAGACAGCCAAAAAGATTTAGAACTCAAATTTAAACTCAGCGACATCGATTCACTTACACATATTCCAGATTTCCCAGTGATGAATTCAATATTAAGGGCTCTGTTCAACCAGAGTGATGTCAAACTATCCATCGATTTTTTCAAGGTACTCAGTAATATCAATGGTTTTCATTTCACTTTTAAAGCATTTGAATCACTTTGTGTATATTTCACAACCCACTTTGAAGAACTATTAAATATATATTCACCCAAGGAAGTCGAGGATATGATCGATACCATTACCAAACATAAGAAATCACACAATTTACTCATTCAATCCATCGAATACGATCATTTAATTATCAAACATCATATAATGAAATACCACAGAGTAGTATCAAAAATCAAGCACCAGGGAGATCAACAAAAAGCACACGAGTATTTCTATAATCTAGTTAAAAGGGTATACAATAGAATGGCGAAAAAGAATAAAACAAGTTTAGAATTATATTTTGAAATTTTAAAATTAAACGATGCTAATTTAGACTTTGAGGGGTTAAATTCAGTCTACAGCGATGCTGTCCAAAACGATTTAACAAGAGAATATTCAGAAGTCTATATAATGAAACTAATCAAAAATAAAAGATTCGATCAAATTGAAGAAAACCTCAACACCGACCCAATGATCATTAAAGATCTTTCTCAAATGGTACTTTTAGAATACTTTAAATTAATTCAAGATAATCCAAAATTAATTATGAAAAGATTCTTTGAAAAAGCAAGTCAAACCCAACATTTTATTCCAGAGCTTGTCAATTTTGTAGATGAAATTAATAAATCTTCTCCATCGCCAAACCAAATGGTATCTCAACTCATTCAATCAATTAAAGAAAATGGTTTAGATCATTTGGTACAACCTAAAAAGAATGATTTAAGTCCAAATCAAATCGAAGTTATAAACAAAATTATAAAGACTTTAGAAAAGGGTCGTTATGTAACAAATTTACCTATTTAATAATAAAATTGTAATAATATTAAAAATATATACATTTTATTTAAAAAAAAATAAAAAACCTATATTTCTTTCGTCATGTCCAATTTTATCATTAAAAGTGTGGTGTGGGAAAAAAATTTTATTTTTCAAATTTTTTTTTTTTTTTTTTTTTAATTTTTTTAATTAAATTTTTTTTTTTTATTTCATTTTTTTAAAAAATATTAAACAAAATATATAATAATGATAAAATCAAACGATCCTTTGATTCCTCCATTTAGATTTGCAATTGTCGAAGAAGGTTTATATAGAGGATCATACCCAACAGATAGAAACTTTAGATTTCTAAAGAGATTCAAATTAAAAACAATTGTATCGTTAACACCAAAACCACCAACCAAATCATTTTATACATTTTGTGAAAGATATGGTACAACCGGTAAACATTTTACAGTTAGCAAATTTAAAGATGATGTAACATTATCAGCTAGTCAAGTCGTACAACTATTAGAACTAATGATCGAACCTTCAAATTTACCAATGTATGTTCACTGTTTGGATGGTGCAAATGTAACTGGTAATATATTTATGTGTCTTAGAAAACTTCAAAATTGGAATCTCTCATCTATCTTTACAGAGTTTACAAGATTCACTAGAGGTGGCACCATTGCTTCAAGTGAGGCAGAGTTTGTCGAAACTTTTAAAGCTGAAATCGATGTTCCACCACAAATCCCTTTTTGGCTATGGCAAGGTATTCGTATGAATAAACATCCTACTTTAAAATTAAGATTAGTCGGTAATAATCAACAACCAGTTTTATTAGCACTACAACAATCCAATGGTTCTATTAATACAAGTAGCTCAACCTATTCAACTCCAATTGCTTCAAAACCCTCCTCCTCGCTAATAAATACCCCAACAAATGATGATTTTTCAAATGGCAATATATTACAAAAGCTAATAGATTTAAATAATAATAATAATAATAGTAATAATAATAATAATAATAATTTAAATAATAGTAACATTAGCAATATAAATAATCCAATTGATAATAGTACTGTAAACAATAATATGAATATAGAAGATAAAAAAGATAAAAAGGATAAAAAAGATAAAAAAGAAAGTTCTGGCTCTAGTACTAATACCTCTCCATCAAATAGTGATAATCAAATTGTAAAAACTAATAATAATAACAGTGATAATAATATAAACAATAATATCCAAAATGTAAAAAATAATACCCAATCCGATAATACTTTGGTTTCTAGTGTAGTAGGTGATACCAAAACAAATACTGAAGATAAAGATAATAAACCAGTTGATGATAGTAATAAAACAACCACTACTACCTCTAGCAATATACAACCAAATACAACGGCGCCAAACACCCAACCACAACAACAGACTATACAATCCAACACACTAAATATTTCAAGTGTTTTAACCCAAAGCCCAAGAGCAACCTCATTAGCATCACCTTTAATTAGTACCTCTACTACAACTAGCGGTAGCTCAGGTAAAGATAAGGAAAGAGATAAAAAGAAAAAAGTTGAGGATATTAAGCTCCAATTTGATACCGGCAAGTTTATGACCCAAAAAGAATCAAGATTTTTAGAGGCCCTATCCTTGGAAAGAAAATCCCAATCCTCCTTCATTCCATCATCCTCAACAAACACCACCACCACTACCACGTCAACATCTCAATCCCAAAATCAATCACCCAATACAACACGTCATGCTTTATTTTTATCCTCAAATCCAAATGACAATTAAACAATTTGAAAAAAATAAATAAAAAAAGTCAAATTAAATATCTAAGGTTTATTTAATTAAAGTTTAAATAAATTCTTCATATTATAAACAAATATTAAAGTTTTTTTTATAGGATAAATTTTATTTTATTTTTTTATTACCTTTTTATTCCTCTTCACCATCATCTTCACCTTCACCCTCAATCCTTAATGATTTAGAGGCTTTTCTAATATCAGAATTTTCATCTAAATTTAAATACTCTTCTAAATTTGGTAAATCTTCATATAATTCTTCTCTATCTTCCTCTTCCTCTTTTGCATAACCATATTCCTCTGGGAATCTTGGGAAGTCCCAATATAATGATTCGTTGAGTTCTTCTCTTAGGGATTCTCTGAATTGGAAAAGGGTGGCAAGATCTTCACATGGACCATATACACCTGATGAACTATAACCATCGAAAACAATGTCGAAACAATCTTTCATATATTTATCGAAATTCTTTTTATTCCAACCTGGACCATAGGGTAATGCTCTTTGTCTATTAGTTTCTAAAAGTGATTTAAAGATATCTGGATTGTGTTTAGCAGAAAATAATAATTCGAAACCTGATTGATAGATTGATGTGTTGTTTTTATCAAACTTTTCGATAAGATCTTCGATTTCTGGGGTGCTGTGATAAAAAATATCGAAACCACGCTCTGAATACTTGAGTAAACGACGTTGATACTGGTTATCTCCTCTAACAAAGTATGAGAATTCTGATGCAATGTTGATACGATGATTTAATGATGCCATACCTCTTTCCAATGTAAAAACATCTTTACCATTGAATGCAAAGCAGCTGCAATCAATATCTACACCCAAAAGAATATCTTGAATATCTCGGAATTCATGAAGATTGATTTGAACAGGTCTGTTTGGATAGTGTTTTGATAATACAGCGTGGCCACCCATTACATTCAATGAATACTCCTTGGCATAGTCTTCCCCAAAATAATCAATAATGAATTTGGTAACTTCTCCTTCGCCATTCTCTTCAATATTAAGAAAACATATATCGATATCAGAGTTTTCGAATCCCTCTTGTTGACCAGTTAAACAGTGAGTAACAATACCACCAATGAAAATAACATTTTGTGAAAAACCTTTCTCGAAAAGACCTCTGGTGGCTGAGTGGAAATTCTTTATAAATGTTTCTTTGTCAACAATTGAAGGCTTACCATTTTCAAAATTTGATGCTGTTCCGCTTGTTAATTTTGCTTCAGATTTGATTAAAATTCTTGATTCTGCATTGCCTTGTATTTTTTTGAAAATGAATTTATCAATGTTATCATAAACATTGATTAATGTGCTTTTGGTGTATGGCTCTGGTGAAAGGTTATATTCATAGTTGTATCTGTGCCAAGTGTCTTTATTTAACCATGCTGAAACCATCTTATCCAATGGGTATAAACTATTAAAGACCTTTTCCCCCTTTTCTCTTTCCCCTTTATCGTGATATAAGCTATTGACAATTTCTGAACCGATTGGTCTTTGATCATCGCAACAATTTTCAATAAATTGTTGTAATAAATCAAAAGTTAATAATTTAATTTTTTCCAATGCACCTTCTTTATTGCTAAAGATAAAATAAATTATAGTGTGGGTATTAGTATAAATTGGTTGTAAATGATATTTATAAATAAAGTTATATTAATTATAATTACATTAAAAATTCGTGTTTTAAAGTTTCAAAACAAATATTTTTAAAAAGTGGAATTTGTTTAACACCAAAAGCACCATCAAATACACCCCATCTATCCTCATCTAACGATGGTCTAACCTTATCGAGTTCTTTGATATCAGAGGTGCCCAATACCCTCTTGTTAATTCTATTTACAATGGAATCGACGTTATCTGCATCTCCTCTAATAGATTGTGACTTGTAAATTGATTTGGTATTTGATAAGAGTAAATAATTTGTTGAAATGGTTCTATAAGATGTAACACCCCTTATGGTATATGAAAATACTTCAATCTCTTTATTTTTATTATACTTGATATATGATTTTCTTTCATTGTCATTTTTAATTTTAAAATATCTATCTGCAAACGAAAATAATTTTTCGTGTGCTTTTTCCTTTAATTTAATTCTGGTTAATAGATTGATCTTTTTTATTAATATTATACTATAGATTAGAAACCTACATCATTGTTAATTAAATTTAATAAACATCTGTAATATGTACCTGTTCTGTCTCTTTTCATAATGGCTAAGTAATGATCCATACCATGAACCCAAACTCTATTTGGAAGATTTGGTAGAGCTACAGTTTTGCATTTAACCTGATCCTCTTGGAATGGATAAGAAACTGGTAAATCTGAGAAAAAGAAAACATTCTTCTCCAAACCAAATGTTTTGATTGGTATTTTTTTATCCTCTTTAATACATTTAATAATATCCAAATCTTTTAATTCTTCTATCATTGTGAACTGCTATTACTATGTTTAAAAAAAAAAATAAAAAAATAAAAAATAAAGGAAAAGTGAAAAAAACAAATGGTTTTATTATAATTTATTAAATTCTGGGTATATTTTCTTATTATTTTCTGTAATAAAAAATTAATTATTTTAAAAATTGAAAAAAAAAAAAATTGAAAAAAAAAGAAAATTAAAAAAATAAAAAAAAAGAAAAATAAATATCTAAAATTACAAGTAAATGTTATTATTTTTAATATATTTTCTCATTTATTTTTATTCTTTTAAAAAAAAAAAAAAATTTTAAACGTTACTATCATTATTTTGATCTATCGAAACTGATATACTTAAATTTTGTGTTGAATCGTTATTAAAATTGATATGAGAGTGGGAGATGGTTAAACTTGTATTAAGATTGCTTGTGGATTGGGTTGGTGTGATAGTCTGTAATGAATTGGTTGAAGCAGTGTTATTTAAATTATAATGCTTGTCACCTGCAATTTCATTTAAATTGATTTCAAATGTTTTCTCGGCATTTGATGAGCTATTACCAGAGTTAGCTGAAAATTTTGATGAATTGGTGTTACCTGCACGTCCGAATCTAAAATATGTTTTAAATGAGTCACCACCCAACGAATACATCACTACACTTAATTGTGTAAATTCTAAAAGACACTGAACAAGATAGAATGCATAATTGGCGGTATCGTAATCCTCCAACCCTAATACTGGCACTTGAATAATAAATACCAAAAATACACCTACAACCATCACTAATAATACAGCTGCCATTTTTTTAATTCTATTAAAAGATTCTTCGAGCATTGGAATTTTACTGCCATTCTTTTTTATAGCTCTTGCTAAAATAATACCATTAACTAAATAAAAACCGCCAATACCCTGTGATTTTAAAATAAAAAATAAAATTAGATAAATTACTAAAAAAAAAAATTGGAATGTTTTATGTTTGGTGCGCAAAATTAATGATTTTAAAAGAAAATAAAATTAATGTACACATACAACAACAATTACTATTTGACCAGGGCCATAACTTGCATTCATTGCATCTAATAAATAAAAATTGAGTATGGTTTGTACTATAGTCCAAATAAATAAAACCACAGTAATTACTGATGCCCCGATCCATACTCTTCTTGTATTTTTTAAAATAATATCTTTTTTAATAAAATAGGTGTATAATAGCGTTGACCAAAAGACACAAATAAAAGTCCACTCTAAATATTGGAATAAAGTTCCCCAAATAGAAACTGCAACTGTAATGGATCCATTATCTATAGTTTTATCATAAAAAAATACCCCTATCATAAAAAGTCTTGCTGTAAAAAATAATTATAAATAAAAAATAAAATTATTAGTGTACTTTTAAAAAATAAGAAAACTATTTAAATTTAAATTAAACTTTTAAAACTTACTAAAAGGATAAATTGTAATTGATACAAATGTAAACAAACGTGGATTTATATATTTTTTTTTTTTTTTGGCTTCAAGAAATTCGTGAATGGATTGATTTAAATTTACAAGGAATATACATAAAAATAAAAATAATCTAACTATTGATAAACCTAATACTGCTTTATTAACTGGATCGCTGGTTGTGAATTCTGAATGTGATACTGCATGAAAACCCATTTTTTCTTTTTTTTTTTTTAATTTTTATTATTTGTACAGATTTATAAAAAAAAAAAAAGGGAATTTTAAATATTTACAATTATTTTATTATTAGTAATATTTATATATCATCAAATTTATTTTGAAATTTCTGCAGACTATTAAAAATATAAACAATAGTAATGAAAAAACTTTGATTATTTATTGTGTGGTACTGTAAAAAAATATCAATGAATAAACAAAAATGAAATAAAAAATTTTTTTTTAAAAATAAAAATAAAATAATTATAATCTCGTGATTGATTATAATATTTGTGTACAAGGGATATTAATAGAGTGAAAAAAAAAATAATAAAATAAAATAATAAAAAAAAAGAGAAAAAAAAAAAAAATAAATAAAATAAAAAAATCAAATTATGATTTGCTTATTTTAAAAAAAACAACTCTTATTGTGCCCAAAATATAAATTTTAATTTTAATTATAGAGCGAGAATGAGAGAAATTGGGATAAATATCAAAATTGTGGATACGGCGGTATTGCAGTGTTGATATAAGTTGTCTGTAATACAGGGGCACTGGAGAAAAAATAAAAACCTTTTTTTTTTTATTTTTTTTTTATTTTTTTTTTGTTCATAGATTGTGCATGTTTTTTTTTTTCAATGCCACCTGTCCATTAAAATAAAAAAAAGTATTTTTTTGTGCAATAACTATTTTTTAAAAATATCTTTTCCTCATATTAAATTTTCTGGAAAAAAAAAAAAAAAAAAAAAAAAAAAAAAAATTTTCTGATTTATTGTTCCAGTTTTATAATAATAAAAAAAAAAATCATATTTTTGTGTAAATAGTGTCTTTTTAAAAAAAAAAAAATCAGATTTTTTTTTTATATTATTATAATAATATAAAATATTTTGGAAAAAATAGAAAAATAAAAAAAATAGTTTAAATATTTTATAAAAAAAATTTTATTTTGTTTTAAAGCTAAGTGTGGTTATATTTTTATCCTCACAAAAAATACAAATCAAATCAGTTAAAAAAAATTAAAATTTTGAATATACATATAAAGCAAAATAAAATTGTATAATTAAATTATCTTTTTTTTTTTGGGTAAAATTAGGGAAAAAAAAAAAAAAAAAATTTTTCAAAATTTTAAAAAAAAAAAAAAAAAAAAAATTTTTTTATTGATTTTTAAACACCAGGGTAGATTTAACAGAGTTTAAAAATAATGGATCAACCAAAACTTAACCTGGACTCTATGAATATGGAAAAAAAATATATGAATGATGAAACAATTTCAAATAATATTATTGATAATAAACTATTTAAACATTGGTTAAAAATTAATTGTTATAATAAATCATTTATTAAAAATTATTATAATCAAAATAAATATGATAAAAACTATTTAATTTCTAATAGTAAGGAGGGTTGTACTTATAATAAAGAGTTTTCAATTATAAAAATTAAAGAATCAATAATCAATCATTATTTTAAATTCAATTGATTTTTACCTTATATTACAATTGATGATTTTAAAGAAATTAAAATGAAATTTGAAAATAAACAATTAGTTTATAAAAGAATTGTTGATGTAAATGTTTATGTTGATACTGATGAATCAGGTTATGATGATGATGATAGTAGTATTTTGTTTAAAATTCATGAATATATATCAAATGATAATACGGAAATCATATCAAATTTATTTAAAATATTAGAATTAAATTATGATTTTATAATAGATGGTTATTATCCAGACTCTGAACATGATGAAAATTCGTATGGGTGAAGAGGATTTAACTGCAACTTTAGCAGAGATTCAACGATTATTCAATCAATGTTATACAAGATTTCAAGAGGTTAAAGAAAAGAAATTAATTCAAGAGAATTTAAATATTAAAATTTTAAATGACTGGTTAATTAAAGTTAGAAAACAATCTTATCTCCAAAAGGAGGCATCTTCACTTGGTATAACAAGTGGAAAATATACAGATGCTGATTTTGAAATCAGTGATATTAAATCATATAATCTTTTGAAAGTTTATAACCATTTTCAATCACTATTAACAAAACATAAATTGGAGAGCGCTAGAATTTTAATGATAAAAAGATCAGGTTCAGTATCTCATAATCTTAAACATGAGAATGAGGAATCCTTCGACGAAGAAAATGGCGTTGAGAAAAAGGAGGATTGGATTGGTGTATATGTAGCACCAACTGAGTCAATATTTTCATTATATCCACCACCAAGACGTATAGATTCCACAACAGTACTTTGCACAAGTTCAAAAATTGAAGAACCTGAGGATAACACAAATCAAAGGGACACTTATTTAAGTGGTATTCAATTATTTGAATTGGGTTATTTCATTCAATTGTTATCATCTGGTAATCATCGTGTTGTTGAATGTTTTTATGATAAGAATTCCGCTAGTGATTTGGTTGAAACTAAAATTTGGAAAGATATTAAAAACCTGGAAGTAAATTCAAACTTTTTATCAATAAATTTAATTCATCATTGTTGGGGTGTTTCTAAAGGGTTGATTGAAAAACTTCAAAGATCTCCTTCATTCTCTCCTTCAACTCCATTATCTCCAAATACTTCAAATGTAATTCCACTCTCTGAAAAACGTAAATCACTTTATCATGCTCAAAGATTAATCAATAGAGCAGAGGAAATTTTAGATAAAAAAAATTTCACTGTCTATCTTGATGAAGATGATGATTCAACCGAAAGAAATCTACTCTTAAGAATTAAAAACTCTTCAGATTTCAATTCTGATCAATTAGTGTCTCTCACAACAAATTGTCTCAATCAAATTAAATCTGTGAATGATAAAATTCAAAAACTTTCAAATATTTCTTCTGCTGATAAAAAATTAAATGAATTATCAATTAAACAATCTTTAAAAACAATTTTAATTAAAATTAGAAAATCAATGATTAAAATTATTGTATAAATAAATAAATAAAAAAATTTATTAAAAAAAAAAAAAAAAAAAAAAAAAAAAAAAAAAATTGGTTGTGAAGATTTTTTTTTTTTTATAATAATTATTTTTTTAAAATAAAATCAGGCACCCATTTTTTTAATTAAAAACTTTTTTTTTTTTTATAAAAAAATAAAAAAATAAAAAAATAAAAAAATAAAAAAGTATTTATTCATATATATAAAAAAATAAAAAAATTAAATCAAAAAATCTAAAAATAAATAAATAAATAAATAAATAAATAAATAAATAAATAAATAAATAAATAAATAATTTAAAATGGCAAGCAAAATTGACTATCAAGCTGGTAAAAAACATGGCCTTCAATTAAAAAATCAAGAAAATGAATTAGATTCAATAGCTGCAGAGTTTTCTGGTGTATGTTTTTTTTTTATATTCATTTATTCATTTATTTATTTTTTTTATAAATTTACTAATAAAATATAATATTGACAATAATTAGGAGTTAGATGAGGCCACTCTTTCAAAATATAAAACTCAATTCATGAGTTATGATATTAATAATTCAGGTGATATTGATCATTATGAACTCCAACTTTTAATGGAAAAAATTAATCAACCAAAGACTTATTTGGAATTAAAAAAAATGATTGAACAAGTTGATTCAACTGGTATGTTATGTTATTAAAAAATTCAATTGGTTTTATATTAATATTTTTATTAATTATTAACTGTCATTATTTTAATTAAATAAAAGGTAAGGGAGCAATTAACTTTAGAGATTTCATTAAAATGATGACAGGAAAGACATCTTCAATTTTACAAAAAATTTTAATGTTTGAAGAAATGGGAAAGAAATCTGAACAACCAAAAGGAATTCCACAAAAAAGATCAATTAGTGATTTACCATAATTCTAATTATCCAAATTAAAAAAAAAAAAAAAAAACTATTTATTAATAAAATACTCTCTGTAAAAAGATACATTTTTTTTTTTTTTTTTTTTTAATATAAAATTTATTGAAAAAAAAGTGTTTTGTTTTTATTAAAAAAAAAAATTAAAAAAATTTTATGCGCTAAAAGGACCAAAATTTATATTCACCATCAATACCAGAACTAACCAATAGTTCGCTATGAGCTGGACACCAATCGATTTTACTAATACTACTACTATGTGCAAGAAAACTAATTACGGGCTCCAAAGTTGAACGAAGATCCCAAATTGATATTTCACCACTATCAGTCGCTGATGCGAACCAATAAGGTACAAATGGATGCCATGCAACATCTTTAATTGATACACTTGATTGATAAGATGATGAATTTTTACCATTACTACCACTAACACTACCACCACCACCACCACCTATTGCACCACTATTATTAAACCAAACTGTTGGTGATTTTCTTGTTGTAATAATAAACAAAGACGTAAATTATTGAAGTTGGTTAGTGGTTAGGGTTATGAAAAAATTTGTAAAGTGGGGAAAATATTGTTGTTTTATTTTATAAATAGTTTTTTATTATTTTTTTATATAAACAAATAAATATTTATATATTTTTTTTTTGGTTTTTATTATTCTTATAAAACATTTATATAATTTTTTTTTAAAGGGGTTTTTATTATTTTATATTTTTTTTTAAATTATTATTATATATTTTTTTTTTGTTTTTTTAATGTTGGGTTGGTGGGGTATAAATTAAATCGTCATCAAATTCGAAATAAGATTCATCAAAATGATTAATTTGAACTAAACCTTCTTCACCACCAGTTGCAAAAGTTTTACCGTCTGGAGTGAAACAAATTGAATGAACTGGACCAATGTGACCAATGAGACCACCTAATTCATCACCATAAACAACATGGAAGAAACGAACTTTGAATTGTGAAGCATCTACTTTAGATGTGGTTACAGATTCGGCTGATTGACCACCACCTAAAATTACGTGTGGTTTTAATGGAGAAATACCAGCGGCATTAATTGGACGACCAGTATCAAAAGTTTTAAGAAGTTTTAATGTTTTTGTATCGTATAATTTAGCAGTACCATCTTTTGAACAAGTCATAAACATAATTCTATGTTTAGTCCATTCAATTCTGGTGACAGTTTTATTGTGATCTAAAATAGTTTTAATAAGTTCTTTTTTCTAAAAAAAAATAATAAAATAATGTTAGATAAAATTTAAAAATAAAAAAATAAAAAGGGGTTACTTACTTCTGTGTCATAAATACGAACAGCACCATCTTCACATGATGCTAAAATAGTTTTATTGAGTGGACCCCAAGTGGCTTGAAGGATTTTAACATTTGGTGATGGTAAAATGTATGCTTTTGAGACTATAATAATTAAAATAAAATTTATTAATATACAATCATATTATTGCTATATTTTTTTCATATTAAGCAAGTGATTATCACCATTATTATTATTATTATTATTATTGTTATTTTAGTTTATTTTCATTATCATTAATATGTTTATTTATAATCTATACAATACATTTTCTAACATCATCTTTTTCAAAATTGAATACATGAATAGTACCTTGACAACCCATAACTTGATCTGAAACACATAAAATTTGTTTATCACCTTGTGAAAATTCAATTGAACGAGCAGCAACTTCAAAATCTACAACATCTAAAACTTTACCTGTTTGAACATCCCAAACTCTAGCTTTTGCATCAGCAGAAGCAGTAATTAAATATTTTGAGTCCTCTGTTTATTTTGTAAAAATTGTAATTTCATAATTATGTTATTATTATTATTATTATTATTATTATTTAATATAGAATTGTTAAGATTGTTTATATTGATGTTGAAGGAAAATATAATGATTAGTATCTTTATTATTATAAACCTACAAGATAAAAATAGTAATATTTATACACATACGTGAAACATCGATTGAATAAACGACACCACCGCATAAATATGAGCCAATTCTTTCACCATTAGCAGTATACCATACTGAAACAAGTTTATCTTTAGCAGCAACGAATAAAAGATCACCTTCACGGTTGAAGAGAACTTGGGTAATTGGTCTTTCGTGAAGACGAAGTGAAATTGGTCTCTATAATATTTATAATCCGAAAATAAAATTAAAAATTATTTGTGTAAAATTTGATAATTTGATAATTTGATAAATTGATAATTAATTTGATAATATATTTATATAATATTTTGAAATTGTTTGATTATTTGAAATAATAGTAATAGTCAATATTTGAGAATGATAAAAATTATGTGTTGTAATATTGTTATTTTAAAATTTTGATGGTTTTGATAGTTTTGATTGTTTATTTAATAAATAAAAAAAAGAATTAGTATACTATTGGGTTTTTTTGTCGTTTTAGATATTATGTATGTTAAAATTAACTAATCCTATATAATATTTAAAACTCTACTGAAAATAAAGATCATTTACCATTTTCTATCTAAATATTTATTTATAAAAAGATGAAGTAAAAAAAAAAAAAAAATTTAAAAAAATTCAAAAAAAAAATAAATACGAAAAAAAAATTAAAAAAATTATAAAAAAATTAATTTTTTTTTTTTCAATTTTTTTCCATACTTTTTTTCAAACAATTTTTTTTTTTTGAACTTTATTTATATTTAATTAAAATAATTTATATAAGAATTATCTATAGATTTTAATTTTCTTTTTCTTTATTTTTTTTTTAACAAAAAAAATGATTTTTTTTAATTAAAAACTTTGTTTCAAATAAAAAGCTTTTTAAATTTTTTTAATCCTCCCCTAATTTTTTAATATTTTTTAGTAATACAACAAATAATTTCCCTTTTTGTTTTTCGGCTTCGTTTTCGTTTTTTTACTAATTTATTTTTAACTAATTAAATTAAATTAAAATTAAGTAAGGGGGGGGGGGGGTTAACCTTTTTTAAAAAAAAATAAAAATAAATAAAATAAAAAAAAAAAAAAAAAAAAAAAAAAAAAAAAAAAAAAGGGCTTTTGAGTTTTTTAAACGAATTTTAATTTTTAAAAGGCAAAAGGATATTTGGGGGGGGGAATTTTCCCTCACCCTTATTCAGAAGAAATATTTCAAGGTTTTTTTGGAATAAAATTCTTTAAAAAATAAAAAAAAAAAAGTTAAATTTTAATTAAAAAAAAAAAAATATTAAAAAAAATTAAATTTTTAGAAAAAATTTTTTTAATTAAAAAAAAAAAAAAAATTTTTTTACCCTTTAAAAAAGCAAAAAAAGAAAAGAAAAGATTTGGAAAGTTAAAAAAGAAAAAAAACCCAAAATAAAAGCAAAAGATAAGAATTTTTTGAAAAAAAAAAAATGGGGGTTTTTAAATTAA